TTGAATAGCCTATTCTTAAATGCAGCGATGGATCCTTTCCAAGAGGTAGATGAGTCATATGATGCTTTAAACGCTCATTCTTTTGAGAACGCGCACAGAGCTTGAAGAAAAATCCCAAGTTCACAAAGACAGTTAGCTCTGATCAGGGGTTTTAGTTTTATCAGGCCAGCTAAGTCAAATGTTGAACTCGCTTCGTAGTATACGCCCTAGGTGTCTTTGTGGGCCAGCATGAGCGCAACTAGGATCCTGAAACAAGCTCCTCTTTAAATAGAATGCAGAATTGAGAAATGAAATTCTCAACGGAAAAAAAACGTCACATATATTCCATATAATGTGTGAGGTGAAAGTAAAGAATCTCCCGTTCTGCTTTTCTTCCAGGAGCAGAGACTGAAGTATCTTCACCAGGGAGGCAGATCCAACCATGGACAGACACAGGTGGGCTCCATGTGCTCATTACACTTTGTAGCAGGCATACCTAGAAGTTAACTTCACAGATGCCCATAGGTTAAAGCCCTGTTGTAAAATCTCCTCATTATGATCACCAACGTCCACTAACGGCCGTCTGTTAGGTGAATATAAGCTGGGTGAAGCCAGTAACTTCCAAATGATTATTTATCTCAACATTTATTTGTGTCACACGAAAGCTGAAATGAGATGGGTGTTTGAGCTTGTGTCCTCTCTGTGGTTTAGTCTGAGGCGGAGAAGCTGCAGCGGCTGAAGGAGCGGGTGGAGACGCAGGAAGCCAAGCTGAAGAAGATCCGCGCCATGAGAGGACAGGTGGACTACAGCAAACTGATCAACGGAAACCTCTGTGAGCCCCAAACACTCTGCAGAGACTCTGTAGAGAAGTGGCTGCTGTTCTGACTACATATTGATAATACAATAGAGAGGGAAGCCTTGGCGAAGTGTGGCTGACGATACACTTGATCAAAAACAAACACCCAGTGTTTCCCCTACCATTGTCTTGGCGGGGCGTTGCACCAAATTGCAACTAAACTATCGACTGTCACATTGAACATGTGCTCTTTTATTAAATAAACTTTCATTTTAAGTTGTTAGTTTAGTGATTTTGACCCTAAGAAACACTGATGCATTAATAATCCACAGCTCCTCTCTCTGCTCCAGAGGATTTAAAAAAAAAAAACCATCCCAACACCAATTGTAATACATGTTATAAATTGTTGTACAATTTTCAGTTTTTACTTTAACTTCTTATGGTAATATAAAATAAATGTTAAACTCTATTTTGTTTGATCTTTTAAATTTGACTTTTTATGTTTATACATTTTACCTTAACTTTGTGTGTAAGCATTTATCTTTATTATATTTTACTTTTATTGCACATTCTTACTTTGACTTCTTGTTTATTTTATCTCATTTTTTATTTTCAGTGCATACTTTTACCTACACTTCTTATGTTTATATACATATTTGTATTTAATTGTACTAATTATTTAAGTCTAAAATGAAACAATAGTCACAAAACCCAATTCCCCCCAGCATAAACAAAGTATTTATGATTCTGAAATAGGCTTGATAAGTAAGCAAAAGAAAATACTGAATGTCCGGTTGTGTGTGTCCAGCTGCAGAGATTGAGCATGTGAGCAGCCTGTTCCAGGAGAAGCAGACGGAGCTGCAGTGTGCCGTGGTCAGAGTGGACCAGGTAACGTCTCACTATTTCACTGTAAGCAAAGCTTTAAGTTTGGATGAGTCCTTAAGTTCTTTCGAAATGTTTTTACCAGTTGACGCAGCAGCTGGATGATCTAAAGAAAGGACGCCTTCAGCTACACTCTGCTCCACACGCTCAGGGGCCTCACAGCGGGCCCCTGGGGCCACACACTGGCCAGAAAGGATCACCCCTGTCTGGTCCTGCAGCCCTGGAACTGAGGAAACTGTACCAGGAGCTACAGGTAACACCATCTCATTCTGTATAGGATGCGATAATACTTTATTTCCAAGCGAACAGATAATGAATACAACATTTCATTTCAATATCTTCAAGAGTGTGTGCGACTTCTTATTGTTTGTGTTTCAGGCTCGTAACCGTCATAACCTGGAGCAGAGCAGCAAGCTGGCCCAGAACAAGGATCTGCTGAACAAGAGGAACGCCCAGGTGACGGTGATGGACCAACGCATCGGAGACCTGAGGGAACGACTGCATAAGAAGAGAGCAGAGGTACGCCACTAAGCTGAAGTCTTTTTTAACATATCTTTGAAACACACCTCAGTTGCATTTATCTTAAGTTTGGTTCAAGTTAGCTTGGCTGTCATGTCATTGGCTCTTTTTTTTTACATCTTCATCACGATCCCAATTAGCATTAGCATTTGTTTTTTTCCTGGGGTCGCCACCCAAAAAGTCAAACACACATTTACACGCTATAGCCACATAAACACAACATATATATATATCGTCTCTCTCAATGAACAAATAGGGACCAGAGTGAAAACTAAAATGATCATCCATTTAAACATCATTAAGCCAAACTAAAAAATAACATTTGTAAAAACACACCGGCACGGTTCAATTATCATTTCTGCAATACAAATGATGAACCAATCTTTGTTTACCTTTGATCAATGGGCACCAGCATAGGCCTCATTTAAACTGGGGACACAGCTTTGTCTTGATGTGATCATGTGTTTCAATGTTTCAGAAGAATGACTAGAACACTGATTTATTTTCAATAGTGCTGCGATCTGGAAATGAGACACTTAAGCTAGACTGTAAACATCATCATTGCTAAGCTAAAGGCAGCTAATGTTCATATAATATTAGCACACTTTGGTGGGAAATTGAAAAGCTAACATTGCTCCCACTTTGCAGGAGCAGGGCAGAGACACTGCATTAGTTTTCAAAAAAGTAATGTAAACTGAAAAAAGGATTTCCCCCATGGCCTACTGATTCTAAAATGGCCCAGAAATGTGCATGCGCTAATCAGAAACGATCACAGAGTTTCTTCTTGTCCAAGTTTCTCTTTCTGTGAACATGCCAAACAGCAGTACCGTTGAGTCGGGTTGGCGACAGAGAAGCCAGGTCATTAGGCTTCTCAAATGGGCCCTACTACGTTGCAATCCCTGTGTTCCCTCCAGAAGGACCTTTCTCTCCCACACACACATTTGCTAGCGCTTGAACACTTTGTACTTTTGTACACTAAGGGGCGGGACATCTCTCAGCGGTTGACCAATCATATATTGCATGCATGTTTAATTGATCTGAAAATGTGTCCCCACAAATGTTCAAGCCATTTTCACTGGCAAAGAATTCCAGCAGACCATGGCTTAGTTCACTTGGACCATCATATGGTCTATTTGATATGTCCTCATTGTGTTGAGCCTGCCTCTCTGCACTCCTCCAGTTGAGTCGTATGAATGGAGGAGGCCCGTCCTCGCCTCAGTCCTCCTCACACCCGGGCGCTGGAGTCTCGGGGCGAGTAGCGGCGGTCTGCCCCTACATCCAGGTTCCAGCAGAGGGGAGGCAGGAAGCGGGGTACCCCATGCCTGCAGACCCCCCAGCCAAACCAACCCCCCTCAGCCACATTCGCTCCCTCTCAGGTTGGTGCCATTTCTGCTTTAGATCAACTTGTTTGACTTTTTGATATCTCTTTCTGGGCTCTAACTTGCTTTCTATTTCCTTTTCCTGTTTGTTGGCTCCTTTTCATCCTCCTTCCCTTTTCTGTTGTTGTTCTCTTAAATGTGTTAATGTTATTGGTGATGTCACTTGTTGTTGTGGTGGTGCTTGCTTGTGGTTCCTGTGATGTCATCGTGATGATGTCCGTGTTGTTTTGGTGGTTGTTACTGTCCTTCGTGGCGTGTGTGTGTGTGTGTGGCCGTGCAGAGGAGGACAGGAGTGGCATCAGGAAGCCTCCCAGCCAATGGAAAGTGTCAGATTTAGACATCGTTCTGTCAGAGCCCACTAAGACGCATGAGGGGCCTGGGTCCCCTCAGGGGGGCCACAGTATCAACAGTGAGTCCCTTCAGAGCGCTAGAGGAAGATACTCTTCATGTATTTGTGTAGGCCGACCTAGAATTTAGCATCTATAAGGCTCCCTTGACAAAAAGCAACGGGATTTTGTCAATGGTTTTAGGAATATTGCAGATTTGTGATACTTACACATTTTGTTCGTCAGAATAAGCTCCACATATCAACATTACTTTTACATTTGTTTCGTTAGCAAGGGGCTATATAATAATGGTTTTAAGAAATGCAAAAGCTTTGTACATCTACCAGTGTGTATTAACTGACGTATTTAAAACAAAATCTCTGTCAGGACTCTTTCCTGCACCACTCTATTGACGGTAGATCAATTTCAAAAGAGAATGGTTCTCAATTTGACTGCTGGGCTGGAAAACAATCGAAGAGTGCATATAAACGAAGAATGCTGAGGAGTGTTTTTGTCTTACTATACAGAACAGATGGTTAGGAAAACATAATTGAATGAGCTACAGAAATGACCTCAAAAATGAAAGGGTCATGTGTATAAGGACACAGACATGACATCTGATTGTCAGCAGCTGCTCAGGGTTAGGAAACACAGCATAGGGAAATAATCTGAGGAAACACTGGGCAGGGGTGAATAGCAGCTATAGACTCGTGTTGCCGTCCCTATGCTAAGCCAAGCTAACCGTCGTGTGGCTAATCTTAATAGTTAATGTAGAGACAGTGTAGAGATTGGTATCAAGCTTCTCTGCCTGCAAGAAACTGAGTCTTTTGGAAGTCGTCCTTTAACACAGACAATTATATTTCTATCCATAAAGTTAGAGTAAGCCTAAAAAACAAACACAGAGTGGTGCAGGAATAAGTCCTAAAACCCAGTCATGAGTCCGGTTCCTTCATCTCGAAGTCAACCATTTTTGGAAGACACTTTTGTTTTAAAGCGGCCTGAAATAAGATCGGTAGTTAACGAAAGTTAAGTAAAAAAAGGGTGGTGGCTGTCAAGTGCTGGCGTTTTTATTTCTGACAATGGTTTTTAAGCTATACAAATCAAAAAGATTGTTATTGATATGTGGAGATTACCCTGCTGAACAACATGTGTAAGTATCAGCAATGTGTATTGGCCACAGATCTTATTTTTTCTGCAAAATCCAAAGGAAAGAACTCCTTGTTTTTGCAACGCTAACATCCTGGTCGGCCTACAGAAACACGTCATCAGTGCACCTCTGTAATGTGAATCATGCCATTCTAATGCTGCAGTATGCCAGTCAGACACTTGCCTATAGTAACATGTCAGCACACCCTGAAACCCTTTCTACTCACTCTGTTTAACTACTCAAGTGTCTTGAATGTGCACTGACACAAATCCCATTGTGCCCTTGAATGCCAAAGCAAATGCCACAGCCTAAATAGCATGGAAAACACACAGTGGTAAATCATGTCAACAGACTAACAAATGACACAAAGCATGAATGAAAGGAAGTCTGAGGTACGCTTGTAGCTATATATAGTACGGTGTGTGTGTTAGTGTGTGTGAGTCAGATAAGGAGAGGTGTTTGGTAAAGCAGCTGTTGTTGCTGTCATCTGAGAGATGTAGACTCTCTAACAAACGTTAGCCTGAATATCTCTGATACTGTAGGAATGCTAACACAGTGTTCCTAGAGCAAACACAAATCAGAGCAAGGAATTATATATACCCAATAGAATACAAGCTAATCATTTATTATTCATAGAAAATCCTTGAGACTTGGTTTTATATTCCACTGACCTAAACTAATATTTGCTGATGTGGATTTGGCAGCCAGGTTTTCAGAGACAACAGCGTTAATGTATAAGCTGACTTAGGTCTTTCTCACACCTGAATGTCCAAACCAAGGGTCAGGTTTTTGTTACATTTTCTGCATTTGATTCCATTGGTTTGGTTCCATTTGCAATTATGGGAATTCTACATGAAAGTCCTGTGTCCTTGAAGCCATGAGAGACATGAGCTGTGTCTCCATGTACTAGACATTGATTGTTTCAAAGGCATGCGTCTGACCATGCTGTATTGTCACTTCAGCAGGAGCCCACCTTTGCAGTTTAGCATGTTGTTAGAATGTTGTCCTGTAATATAACTATGCTACCTGCAGCGCCTGTGATTACTGCCCTCCTGTCCTCTCAGAAAATAATTGTAAACTGTTGGATGGGGTTGTGGTAGGTGTGACATTACCCTTTGTTAATGATACAAAAACAAATGCTTTAAAAACCCTGATGCTTCTGTTAAATAAAGCTATCACAAGAGACACTTATTTTCTTATCTTTTAACCTTTTCTTAAACGTTTTTGTGTCTAAGTGACTAATGGAGATGTACCGGTCCTTTCAAACAGCTTACATTATTAGAGTATGCACTATTCATTTTAGTAGGCTATCATCTGTAAATATAAATATATTTTGTAGGAACAGTTCAACATTTTGAGAACATATACTTAATTGCCTTCTTACCAAAAGTAATAGGACAAGATTGAATCCACTCTTATGTCAGTAGGCTAGATGTAAAGCTAGTAAGCGGCCAAACAACTTAGCTCTTTGGCTAAAAACAACAATTTGCCCTTTAAAGGGACTATGTGATGGATGTTTTGACGGCGCTCAGCAACTTCCTGAAATCTCTTCCTGTTAATTAGTAAGCCTTAGTTGTTGCTGATAGGAGGATTTCTTTCTTACCTTTGTACAGAGCCAGGTTAACCTCCCACCAGCTTCCAGTGCTTATGCTAAGCTAAGCTAAGCTAAACTGCTCCTGGCAGTAGCTTTTTACATTACATTGCATTTAGCTGACGCTTTTATCCAAAGCGACTTACAATAAGTACATTCGACCAGGAAGACACAACCTTGAAGAAAACAGAATCATATAAGTACATCAGGTTTCATAGAGCCAAACATTTCAAGTGCTACTCAACTGGCTTTAGGTAAGCCAGTCCTTTATTAGTATAAAAGTGCTTCGTTAATAGTTCTATCGCTCGAAGTGGAGTCGAAAGAGATGAGTTTTCAGTTTGCGCCGGAAGATGTGCAAGCTATCTGCTGTCCTGATGTCAATGGGGAGCTCATTCCACCATCTTGGAGCCAGGATAGCAAACCCACGTGTTTTCGCCGATGGGAACTTGGGTCCCCCTCGCAGCGAGGGCGCAGCGAGTCGTTTGGCTGATGCAGAGCGTAGTGCACGCGCTGGGGTGTACGGTTTAACCATGTCCTGGATTAACGAAGGGCCAGATCCATTCGCAGCATGGTAAGCAAGTACCAGTGTCTTGAAGTGGATTCTAGCAGTTACCGGAAGCCAGTGAAGGGAGCGGAGGAGCGGAGTGGTGTGGGAGAATTTAGGAAGGTTGAAGACCAGACGAGCCGCTGCATTCTGGATGAGCTGCAGAGGTCGGATGGCACATGCAGGTAGACCAGCCAGGAGGGAGTTGCAGTAGTCTCGGCGTGAGATGACGAGAGCCTGGACCAGAACCTGAGTCGCTTTCTGGGTCAGCTGGGGACGTATCTTCCTGATGTTGTAAAGCGTGTATCTGCAGCAGCGGGTTGTAGCAGTGATGTTTGCAGTGAAGGACAGGTTGTTATCTAGGGTCACACCCAGATTCCTTGCAGTCTGAGTCGGGGAAACAACTGAGGTGCCGATGTTGATTGTTAGGTCAAGAGTGGGACAATCTTTTCCCGGGAGGAAGAGCAGCTCAGTCTTGTCAAGGTTGAGCTTGAGGTGATGAGCAGACATCCACTGAGAGATGTCAGCTAGACAAGCAGAGATGCGTGCGACGACCTGGGTCTCTGAGCGGGGAAAGGACAGAATTAATTGGGTGTCATCAGCGTAGCAGTGGTAAGAAAAACCATGCGGGATAATGACTGATCCGAGCGAGTTTGTGTACAAGGTGAAGAGGAGGCTTTATATTTAGAGTACAGGTACCTCCAACTCTCAGCAAGAAGTTGAATACAAAAGTTTCCTAAAATGTTAAACTGTTGCTTTAATTCATACTAAATGTTGTGCCAATACTATGCTAACTGTGTTCTGGATTAAATGGTATTTAAATGTGCCCCAAATGATCCAAATCATCATACCTTAGTTCAAGATTACACTGATTTAGAAACCAACACTACGTGCTCTCCAAAGATGAGTGGATGAGTGGTGAGGTGTTTGATAGACTTGTAATGAACCTGAAGCCAGGCCACTCATTGTATTTTGCATCAGGACAACCCAGTCTCACGGCATTTTGTGTTATAGTCAAAATGCCGTGAGACTGTGTTGATCAGGTGTAGGGAGATGCTGCCAGGGCTGTAAACTGTACTGTCTTTCCTCTACAACACTGAGTGACTCTTCTTATCTGAGCCCTCAGGCAGGTGGCCAAGTTTCCACCTCGCACAGACTGTTTGTGTCCTGTCATGACCGTTTAGTTCCTGAGGTCAGCAGGTTACAGCAGCAGTCAACAGGCTGCACAGCACCGCTCACTGAGTGCAGGTTCAATAGTTAATCAGTATCAGTCTGGTATGTACCAAAACTGTGAAGGGCTTGGCTAAGTGGTCTCACCCTAAATATTATGTAGGCCAACGCTGACAATAGCATTTTAATGTTCCACAATGGACTATTCAGTTATTCTAAGCCAGGCTAGTGGCTAGATGGTCGGTCTGTTCAGAAGTTGGTTGTTTAGTTCACCACTTTGGAGATATATTCTCTATAACTTAATGACTTTGATGACTTTCCCATCGCTGTAGTCAGGTGAAAATTCAGATTAGTCCAATAGTTTTCAGCTGCAGTTTTCTAGCAAATATTAGCATGTGATCATGCTGATCTATGATGCTAAACATGTTTAAGGCATCATTATGCCAAATTAAGCTACAGTCAGAGCTGCTACTATGGCTGTAGACCAGGGGCGCCCACACTTTTTGGGCTGGTGAGCTACTTTTGAAATGACCAGCTCACCGAGGTCTACCAACCAAAAATAAAATCCCAAATTGCAAGGGTTGCTGAATAACACGTTTTATTTATACATGGGATAATAGGGCTGCAACAAACGACTAATTTGATAATCGATTAATCTATCGATTAATGAAACGATCAATCGACTATTCGGACTATTACTGTATGCCTTGCACAATTTCTCAAGCGCTCTTATTTAGCCATCAACTTTTAGATTTAGCTTGAGGTTGTTTTAGGCATGTGGAAACTAACAATGAAGACAATAAAGATGAATACTTGATTCAAAAATACATATATTATTAAATTAACTTAACAAATTGTGAACAAAATTAACATTGCTTTTTATTTAAATTAAATAAATAATATTTCACATCAAAAGAAACAACAATGTTTTAACAAATCGTATTAAATAATCTGATGACAGAACTGTGAACAGAATAGCTGAAACTTTAACCAAATAAATAACTCAGTTTCCTCTAATCATTAACCCATGTTTGTATAATGTAGTTAACTCCGTGTGTTGCTGCTAGCATAACACCTGACGTGGAAACGTTACTCGTGGATGGGGCTACAGAGCTACTAGAAAGACAGTCGAACCCGGTACATTCCTCCGTCTGGATGTGGTGCACTTTTGCTAAATGTTTAGACACATTGCTCGTGTTACCGCCCTTACATGCTAAACACTCTTGGCAAGGAGCATTGTCCGCCTCAAGACGGGTAACATTTAACCACACCTTGGAGCGGTTCTCTCCGCCATCCCCGCCGTGTGTTGCTGCATGTAGCAGCTGCGTGTGTGTAAACTGCCCCGCCCCCTCGCACACAGACGGGGGAGAGAGATCTCGTCTCGATTGGAAAGATCAAAAATACACCGACCATAGACGCATTTGTTTGTCTTTTTGCATGTTAGAAACGAGTTGGCGACACTAAGACTGCGAGATAATGTTTGTGTAGCAATAATACATGACCTTTCTCTTTCTCAACTCGCTACTCGGAGGGAAGTCGCTGTCATATGCCTTGTGAACACTCCGATAATGCCTCTCCACGTTACCTTTCTTTGGCAGAGCGACGCTTGCTTTACAACTAAGGCAAATAACCTTTGAATGTGACATCACAACAAAATATTCTTCCTCCCATTCTGGGTGGAAGTGGTATGTCTTTAGCTTCTTGCTCGGTCCCGCACTCATTTTGTAGTTTGTCTCTTGTTTGTCTCTTTAACTTAATTTGAGTTTTCCCGGCACTTGACTGATTTTGTATCGCTTTAGATTCTGGGTTAACAGACTGGAAAGCGATAGGTCGCTTTTTCTAACAATCAAGTAAACTCCTGAATGAAGTGGCAGGGAGGCCAAGGGAGGAGGGATCAAAACCTGTTTTGTCAATTTTAACGGAGCTGGATTTTATTTTTTATGAATGACTCGCGATCTACCAGCATTGCCCGGTCGAACGCGGTCGACGTACTGGGCACCTCTGACTGTATTGTTAAAAAAAGAGTAACTTAAAACCTCTTTAACCCCACGGACCCGGTTCCGGGGCCGAAATCGCGTCATTTGCAGGAAACAACGTCTAAGGAACCTTAATATTTAATAAACTATGAATATTGTATATCCATATAACGGGAAAAAACTCATTTAACTGATCTTTTTCATTTTTCATTTAAAATAAAACACACAATGCTAACAGTGAGCCTCTGAATTAGCCTCGAGCGAAAAATGCTAACCTATTACTGCACCGAAAATCACTCCTAGCTCCTTTATTACTTATCCTAGCTGCACGTCCAACACATCGTTTATGATCTTAAAGACACAAAATCTAACGGTGCCCACCTCAACACTGAACGATACAAACTCGCGACGTTATCAACAAAAACGTACATCAAAACATGTGGCTCTAGGTAGCCTACAACGCTAACATGGCTTACCTTGGTTTTGTCTGGTCAAAACTGGTCTTCAATGGCATTAAAACGATAACAACGATGCTGTAGTTAATCCATAGGTTAATATCCAATGTGCTGTGTCCCCTTTGAAATGTTCTGATAATCTATAAGCAATACAACTGCAATTCCGTTTTCAAATAGTAGAGCAGGCCATTCCTACACTCTGTAGCAAGATTGAATGTGCGAAGATACCACCTTTTTTTTAAACATGAGTGTGTGCGGGACAATTTCCCTTGGATTCTATTGGCTCTAACGGTCAGAAAGAGATGTCACATGTCAAAATCGAAGAAGGGGGGCCAGAGATAAGGAAAATCCACCCAAATGGCCCCAGAAGAGGTTTTTTTTTGCTAAATCTGTCTAAAAAGGTCAAATATCCCTTGTTTTGCATCAATCTTGATACAGGGTACTTATTATATGTTGTACTTTGGATTCCTAAAGCTTTTAGTCTACTAACCCATCATCCAAGGTTAGTTGTCACTATAAGTACAAAATATGTTTTGGACGGACACTATAATTTACAGTTTTTTACTGTGTTCAATCTGAATTTTCTTTAAAATAAAAAACATCTATATTGATTCTGACTTTTCTACATCCAACTCATAGGTTTATCATTACTTTGAGAAAAAAGATTATTAATTTAACCCTTTTAGAAGGGAAGATATGGTCATTTGTTCTGGGAATGTCATTTTCGAGCCTGAAACCTGAAAACCAGGCTTGGGGCTTAAGAGGGTAACAGCCTGGACAATATTGTCTTATGTTGTTGTGTTTAAATGACTTAGGAGTACATGTAAAGTGAGAATGCTGCTTCCATTAGTTACAACATGGGCTGTAAAGTTATAATATTAGGCAATCGCACAATGGTGAACATTTGAATTCGACTAATACTTTTGTTTATGACTAAATACCTTCATGCATGAAGACATATCCATTAGGCACAGTTGCAGTTTGGGTTAGGTAACAGCTAACAAATGTTAGCATGTGATTATGCTAAACTATGGTAGTGACCCTGTTTAACATAAACTGCTCTCCATCAGCATGTTATCATTGTCAATGCAGCAATTTCACATGCTAACGTTAGCATTTAGCTCAGAGCACAGCTGTGCCAAAGTAGGCTAATGTGTCTGAGGGCTGCTTGCATGGTTGAAGTCTTTAATATGTTTTAGCATGCTCACAGACACAGACAAATTGTGATATTAATCATTTAGGCTGCCAAAAGATTCAGAACAATAATAATATCAGTCCTGAAAAAGGCTGCTTTCTTTTAGCTAGGTTTCAGTTTATAAGTACGTAAGTGAGGTCAAACAAAAAAAAGAAGTTAGGTGATGTAACACTCTTTCTAGCCTCTTTGCTATGTTGAGACAATTGAATCTGTTTCAAATATATCATAATTGTTATGTTGTACTAGATAATGGAGCATGACAGCTGGAACGTTTTATGTTGTTCTTGGAATAAATGACATCTTAGCATAATAATATGTTTTTATTTGTGTCATTTGTATGGGAGGGATTACTGTAAATAGCAGTGACTGTAAAATACTCTTTAGCGTCCATTTAGCTTCCCTTCTTTTCTTCTATTCCTCCATATATGATCTAATTTCATTCATATTAAAGTTGCTGTGACTCTAACTCTGTGCCACCTTTTACCTACTTTAACTGTCTTTATGGTATATTGTTCTTTGACATTTGTCTCCCTGTTTGTATCTCTGTATCCTCTTTTTCCTCTGAAGCAAGAGATACACATAAAGGCCAGAGCCGTATAATGAGATGATAATATCAGCTCACACACAAAAAGAAACAAATGATAAAAGTCCCACATGAAATGCAGAGCACATTTACTTTTCCATATAACCGTACTCTTTGTTAGAGCTCATTTGGTCCCATTTCATGTTGTGTTTACCCACCTTGAAATGGTTTGTTGTAGTATTTCTTTCCAAGAAGAATGACCTTTGTCATGTATTTTTTAGAAACCTCAAGTCAGATAACTCCTTGTTTGAGCTTTAAAAATACATACTATATCCAATAGAATAATTGTGTTTATTGCCTGTGGACTATTTTCACCCAGAACAAAAAAACATTTAAAATCAATCAATCAAGTGGTTTTAGACCATTTTGGATATTGGTCCACTTGCCTGAAACATATGGACAATTAAAAAAACAAATGAAACTGGGGTTCCTGTTTCTTACAGAATCTACATTTTCTATAATATTTTCAATTGAAATATCCTTTTTATTATATTAATCTGAAATGTTTTCCACTCCTTAATTGCCTTTCTTGTTTTAACTTGGTCCCTTATCTAAAATGTTCCTCTCTCTGTTTAGCTAATGAAGCATCATGGCCTAGCATGAGTAAGAGTGTGTCAGATTGGAGGAGCAACAGTCCAGAACAGGTAATTTCTGCAAAAGACATGGGGAGATAATAGTGACAGTTATCATGAAAATAGTCCTTTATTTCCACGTCTCCCTCTCCCCAGCTTCCCTCTGGTTATGGCACTTACCCCAGTGCCAGCCACCAGGCGGCGGGGCATCACTGCCCCTCCAGCTCCCTGCCCCGCTCGGCCCCCGGGACACTGGGCTGGCCCCGATCCAGCGCTGCAAATGCCTCCTCAATCTCCTCTTCATCGTCTTCCTCTTCACAACAAATACAGCAACGGATCTCCATCCCTCCAAACTCAAGCCAAGGTACTTTAGAGTTACTTAAAGGACAACTTTTCAACCTGGATGATATTTCACAATGTTTAAGTGACTAATAGGGACTACAATGTCTTACTTTGGTCAAATGTTGAACAAGAAAAGTCTAAAGGTTAAACAAATGCTTCCCTCCACTAATGACAAGTGTAAGTGTAATATTTTCTCTTCTCTGTGGATACTGTCAGGCTCCCCCTCCCAGCCACAAACAGAGCGAACAGATCCCCCTCCAGCGGTGGCCATTCGTCCGTACGTCCCGGACCATCCCTCCAGGCCCCAGTCTCCGAGGAAGGGCCCCGCCACCATGAACAGCAGCTCCATTTACAGCATGTACCTCCAGCAGCCACAGGCCAAGAACTATGGGTCTCTGAGCAACAGGACTACTGTCAAAGCAGGTCATTAAACAGCAGATTCATGGATGGGATTCATTGTATCCCTGTTTAATCGTCACACATGTACACAGCACCGCACACACAGTTAAATCTAGCCTCAGCATTAACCCACCCTAGTATTAGGAGCAGCTACTATATACACAGCGCCCAGGAGGTGAACTGGCACCTCTCAAAGCACCTGTCTCCGTACTTGGTCATACCGGGAAATTGAAACGATGAACCTCTGGTTACCAAGCCAAGTCCCTACATTTTCAGCTAAGGCAAACAAATGGTTTGTACACATTGTACTGCAAATAAATATAATGTTATTTAAATAGAGTGGTGTTCTAATCATGTATTTTTGTAGGCCGACCATGAAGTTAGCATCGCCATGGTTTCCACAACAATAAGCAATGGGATTTTTGCATTGGATATTTGATATGTTGTTAAAGAATAAGATCTTTGGTAAACACACGTGATAGTTAACGTTTTGTTCAGCAGGATAATCTCCATATTTGAACATCTCTTTGTGATTTGTTTAACCAAAATACAATCGTGAGGAATAAAGAGCTAAAGTTAGGCTTTAAAGAAACGACATCACAGTCGCATGGCTGCGCATCACCAAAGCTAAGCTAAAGGCGGCTAACGTTTGGTGTGATGACGATTAGTAGTCCAAGTTGTTATTTACTGACGTTTTTTACAATGTTGAGCAAAACTCTTTTGTTAACCACAGATCTTATTTCAGGCATCTTACCAACACATTGTAAAAAACGTTGACTACGAAGTGCTAAAATGCTAACTCGTTTCCAGGTTTTAGGATTCATTCCTCCACCTATGTTGATTCAATGTCCAGAATGAAAAATTCATCTAACAACTACCTCATTTTTCTTTTCTCTCCACAGTCTATGGCAAACCTATCCTCCCCACCTCCTCCACCAATCCGTCCCCTGTCCCTTTCCTCCAGGGAGGAGGAGGAGTAAAAGCAGGAGGAGAGGATGTAACAGATAAAGAAGGAGGGAAAGGAGGAGAGAGTACTGATGGGCAAATCCTCCCCCAACCCACTGTGGACAACATCCCTCGCCCCCTCAGCCCCACAAAGCTCACCCCAGTCGGTAAGTTCCAGAGAGTAAATGGCACTGATCATTGTGCTGCCATGCTGTGGTTCCATGTGATACGATTGGTATTGCAGTGTAAATCAAGTAGAAATCTGTGAAAACCCTAATGCAAATAAGGGGTGAAAATGCAACACTAATTTCTTTATCATTAATTGAAGGGTTTATTTCTCTTGCGATTATTTCCTTAGAAAAAAAATGTTTTGTTCTAAATTTGAAGAAAAAGACCTCCAATTAAGTGAAGTTTTAAGATTTCTGTAGCAGATTAATATCAACATGAAAATAAACAAATTCCAGAATAAGACATTTGTAGTTGTGAACATAACATAGAATACATAATCCCATAATCCTTTGCCCTCTACAGCCCACTCCCAGCTGCGTTACCAGAGCGATGCTGACCTGGAGGTTCTGCGACGACGCCTTAGCAATGCCCCGCGGCCCCTGAAGAAACGCAGCTCCATCACTGAGCCTGAGGGTCCCCAGGGGCCAAACATCCAAAAACTACTATACCAGAGGTCTGTGCTCTTACAAAGGTGTATTACATTAGGCAGGGGAAGGGGTCATATTCAGTGAAAAACTCAATATTAAGGTGGTGCATTTATGGACATAGAATCCTGGATATTCTCTTACGGTTAAGACCACACATTTAGGAGAAAAGAAGAAAAACAGGTAGCATATGTTTAGAAGGATTTGATCAATCAAAGCAAAACATGAGTGATGGAGGATATGTAATATTAATCTATTAGCTCTAATTCTTTAATGGAATGGTAAAAACTATTTTTTTTTTATGAAACTGATATGAAACAGTTACTCTTTGACGATGAATCAAGGTTGCAGCACCCTTATTAAAACGTATTTTGTGTTGTCTATTGCAGGTTCAACACGTTGGCAGGAGGCATGGAAGGAGGCTCAGGTAAAAACCTGATTCGATAATATGGCCTTCCCTCACAAAGTAACTCACAAAGCAAGAAATCTGGGAGTAGTGATGGACTCAGACCTGAATTTTAACAGTCACATTACAACAGTTATTAGGTATAACGCACCTATTTGCCGCTGCTTTTAATTGAGCTGCCCATACTCACACTACAGTATGCCTTTTTAGTCATGTATTCTGTACCTGCTGTGTTTATTTATTTATTTAATTTCATTATCTTTGCTTATTATGCCTGTTTTTAAATGCCTTTTTAATAATGTATTTATGCTGTATTTGTTCTTAAATGTCTTTTGCTTTTAATCTGTAAAGCACTTTGAATCGCCACGTGCTGAAAAGTGCTATATAAATAAAATTGCCTTGCCTTGCCTCAATGAAACTGGATACAGCGCTGGAGGGCGGGGCCTTGTTTATTCACTCGAGTGCTAATTACCAGGGGATCTGGGCCCTGCTCACTTGCATTTTCTTTAAGCCCCGCCTCCATTTGGCTCTGTCACGACTGGTTTCAGTTCAGTGAAAAGAACAGAGAGGGAATAATAACTCTGGATTCAACTTTTAGCGCATTGCTCACCAAGCTAATGACTTTTTGGGCCCAAAGGCACCAGGTGACTGAAACAGAAGTTGTAGTAACATCCGTTTGGCCACTACGAAAATGTACTGTAACACGTAACACCTTTTGGCCAGTTGGATTCAGTTGGTCTGTGTAATGTTTCTCAGTGATCCTAATGATTTTGATGGTCAGTTGTTTCTTGATCTTAATTGCAGGTAATACCTTCTACCAGCCTGACTGCACTTTGGGTGAAGTGGACAACATCCATTCATCCAATGGGAATGTAGAACCTGGAGACAAGCACGTGAATACGGCAACCGCCGAGGGGGAGGTCCAAAACCTGAACTCGGGCTCTCGCCGCTTGTCCCCCCCTTCTGTTGCCATAGAAATACCCAAAGAGACGTCAGCAAAAGCAGAAACGACCAAAAACGTGTCACCACCGACCCGATCCAGCCCGCCCTCTGCACCTGATAGGCCGGAGGACCAGAACAACAACAAGAAAGGATCAAGTCCTGCACATGGCTCTGTAGGCCACTCCTCCCCCTCAACATCCCCTCCTGCCCCCCCTTCAAAACCTAAGGTAGGCATAGATTGTAATTAAACCTGATATCGAAGATAAAGCTTCTGCTTTGTATATTATTTTACCATATTATTTTACCAATAACCTAAACCTAAGTAATTGTTCTCTGTGAAGGCTAATGTGTCAAGTTTAGCACTTAGTGCACACTTAGCAATTCATTTTCTGCACCGTCAACACTTTTGTTCTCCCTGTGTGCTGCAGGTGAAGCGAACCAACCTAAAGAAACCGTCATCAGAGCGAACGGGCCACGGGCTGAGAGTGAAGTTTAACCCTCTGGCTCTACTGCTGGACGCTTCCTTAGAGGGAGAGTTTGACCTTGTGCAGAGGATTATATATGAGGTAACACAATATCATGTTTTTGTTCCACTATATGTATTACTTTGTCATATTTCCCAATTCGGAATGCTTTTAAATTTGTTGCGCCTCTAGAAATCGAATCAAGCCAAGTTTATCTGTACAGCTCCATCTTAAATTGAACCAAAGGGCTCTACAAGCTGACATTAGAAATGCTTTGAAAGAAAACAAGAAAAAAAACACCCTCCAAAATTCCTATGAAGAAACTCATTGAGAGGCAATTCAAGAGATAACCACTCTCAGACATCTTGGACCCATTTGTTGTCACAGGGTTCAAACCTTGGGTGTATTATGTGTTGATAATACTTATTTTTGTTTTATCTGTTAAAATACTCTTTACATCCCGACAGCAATCAAAGAATTCAAATATTGCAGGACTGTAACTAGGCCAATAATTGTATTCAACCCGAATAAAGCTATTGGACAGCCGGACCTGCCTGTCTCCCTGCTCACACTCTGCCTGTAGGCTTCAACAATGTGCTAGCTTGACAGTTTTGAGTACAAACAATAGCCAGGTTGGTTTATTATGTTCTTTACATTATGTTTCAATTCATAAGGAAAATGATGAGAAGGAGCTTTGGAGGGAGGCCAGAAGAGACGGCCTGTCAGTGATGCTTGCTGCTTTTATTTTAAAAGAGTTGGCAACATTTGGAAGGGTTTTGGCTGGATAGTTTACTCTTGCTGGTATTTCATATGTTACTTACCCTAGCTTCAACACAAATGTAATCACGTTCAAGTCCAACATAGCAATATACCAAAAGAAAAGGACATACTGATGAGTTCAGTATCAATCAATCAATCCATGTTTATTTATATAGCCCAATATCACAAATGTTACATTTGTCTCAGTGGTCTTCACAGTTTGTACAGAATATCAGTATGACAATACGACACCCTCTGTCCTTTGACCCTCGTGTGTAAATCGAAAAGATAATACATTTGCAACATAGGTAGACCAAATGTTTGGAAATGCATGTGTCTGTAATAATAAGATGAATCCACGACGATATCAGCAATCTTGTGGGAGCCATCAGGGAAGTAGTATGATGAGAGTCTGGCAGGACCGCAGAGACAGGTTCAGCCACGACTCGAAGTCCAGGACTCAGATCCAGTACTCAGGATAGAGGATCCAGGACACACGACCACAGCAACAGGATTAGCCTCGACGTAGATATAGACACAAAAAAGAGATTTGGGGGAAGCTGGGTTAATCGGAACATGAGAGTACACAGGTACAAACAGACAGAAAGACGGAGTAAGGTGCCCCCCCGAACAGTCCAAGCCTATAGCAGCTAAACTAACGTGTCTACATACATGCACTCCCTTAGGATAAGTTGAGGGAAAAGGGTAGCAAGTAAGAAGTAGGAAACAGAGGTGGAGAGGCACGCAGGGAGAAAGGTCCCCACTGGAACCTGAATTGGTTAGAGGTAAGGAGTAGGTCTGTAGCTACGTTCCACACTCCCCGGCCGGGCTAGGCCTTCTCTGCAACCTGTTACCCTATAATAGAACCTCGAGAGGTCAGAGAGGGGAAAGGTTTTGGATTAAGTTTTAAATATAAGATCTAAGTTTTTAGGATTTAAGTGAAAGAGTAAGAACTCAAATGTATAGGTGAAGAGGCACAACGTATCTACGCCAATGCACTCTTATTAGAATCGATACATTTCAAACGATACCCATCCCTATTCAGCAATCGAGAGTGTTTACGTCACTAGTTTAGCAAATTCAGCCCGGTTGTTGGCCCGGTAAGAACCTCGATTTTGGAGGGCCAGAAACAAGGTGAAAAAGTAGCCCTGAGCCAGAACTACCCCTAGTGGAAAAGCAAAAAAAAACGGGCCGGGTTTGGCACGGCACGCTTAAACCGTACTACGCGCTGCAGTGGAAATGCGCCATTGGAGACTTGAGAAAAGTGCTGACTCACTCATCAAACTCTAGCTTAAGGAAACATGCAAATGCTTTATATCCAGAAACAAGACAACTTCAAGAATGTTACAAAAACAATGCATCATCTCCAGTTTTGCTGAGAATTCAGACACACTTCACCGAGGTTTAAGAGAACTATGATACCAATATGGATACTTTTGGCATTCTTCCATTGTTGCTTTAAATAGGACATATAATGCTAATTTTCAGGTTCATAATTGTATGTAGTGTCTACTGTGACATGTCTCCATGCTTTAATGTTCAAAAAGCTCTTTATTCTTCTCATACTGCCTGTGCTGCAGCACCTCTTTTCACCCTCTGTCTGAAACCAGAGCCCAGTCTGCTCTGATTGGTTAGCTGTGATTGTTCAACCGCTTAGAGATGTCCCGCCATTTAGCCAATCACAATTTCATTTCATTTCAAACCTTTATTTATACAGATAAATCCCATTGAGATCATTGATCTCTTTTTCAAGGGAGACCTGCTCAAGTAGTTCCACATGAAACATAAATAGAACAACAAAAGGACATCATACAGCATCATTTACATAATTATCCACATAAACAGATACCTATAGCTTCCGATTGAGTAGCATCCAACCGAGCTGTAAAAACATTTAGTGGCACCAGATTGTTCAGTTTCCATTTAATTTGCAGACTATTCCAAGACAGAGGAGCTGCGCATCTAAAAGCTGTCTTCCCTAAGACAGTCCTAGCAGTTGGCACATTTAATAAAACCACAGCATTCGATCTCAGGCAGTAGCCACTTACAATTCGCCGTGAGATCAGGGAGCAGATATAAGATGGAAGTTTCCCTAACATGGCTTTGTATATAAAAATGTACCAGTGACTGAGCCTCCGTACAGTTAGTGAAAGCAAACCAGCCCTTGCATACAGGGTACAGTGATGGGTTAATGCTTTACAGTTTGTCACAAATCTCAGTGCGCTGTGATACGCAGCATCTAACTTGACCAGGCAATTGGCAGGTGCATTCATATACATCAAATCACCATAGTCCAGCACAGGTAAAAAGCTCACAGTGACTAGCCTTTTCCTGGCCTCAAGCGAGAAACAGGACTTGTTCCTGTAGAAGAAACCTAGCCTAACCCTCAGCTTTTTAAGCAGGTTATTGACATGGAGTTTAAAAGTGAGACAATCATCAAGCCAGATACCAAGGTATTTGTAACCGGTAACCACTTCAAGTTTTATTCCTTGCGTAGTTACAATATCTAAAACAGACTCTGGTGTCTTTTTAGCTTTAGAAAAGAGCATTACCTTGGTTTTCTCAACATTTAAAAGAAGCTTTAGTTCAGAGAGCTGAGTCTGAATAATGTTAAAAACAGCCTGTAATTTAACACCAGCCTCCTTAATGGAGGGACCTGCACAGTACATCACGGTATCATCCGCATACAAATGTAAAGTAGCTTCATCCACATTTTCACCTAAACTGTTGATATATATAGAGAATAAAAGTGGACCTAAAACAGAACCTTGGGGAACACCATTAGCAATGTTTAACCACTCAGAAGACAGCCCATCAAAGTGAACACATTGGGACCTTTCAGAGAGGTAGTTCACAAACCACCCCACTGCATGGCTGGACATGCCTATACTGGCTAGCCTCTGCTTTAAAATGCGATGATCGAAGGTGTCAAACGCTTTTGAAAGGTCAATAAATAGAGCTGCACAACTCTGCTTATTATCTAAAATACTCGCCACATCATTCACCACTTTCATTGTGGCAGTGTTGGTGCTATGTTGTTTTCTGAAGCCTGACTGATGTTTAGACAGGATGTCATTTGTACATAAAAACACCTTTACCTGTTCACTCACTAAGCGTTCAAGAACCTTAGCCAGAACTGACAACTTAGAGATTTGCCTATAGTTATTTAATAAGGTGGCCTCCACTCCTTTTAGCAAAGGCAGGACATACGCTGACTTCCACAATTTTGGAATTGTGTTAGTGCTGAGGGAGAGGTTAAAAAGAGTAGTGAGAGGTGGAGAAATAAAATCTGCAGCTATCTTTAAAAAGAAAGGTTCTACGTTGTCCGGGCCAGCCGGTTTCTTAGGATCTAACTTGGTTAAAGCTTCACGAACAACATCAACAGTAAAAGGGGTAAAACTAAAAGGGTTTTCCAACACACGTTTTTCAGAGTCACATACTGTAGTGTTCACAGAAGCAGAGTTAGTGACAGAATCAAAAAGAGAACCACAGGACACAAAATGCTCATTAAAGCAATTTAGCATAGTAGCCCTGTCCGATATAGTGCCACATGCTGTGGTAATGCGCGGAGGTAGCTCATTACGGATATCGCCGGTGGATAACGATTTAATGGCTTTCCAAAATTTTCCAGGATTATTCAGATTCTTTGTGGTTACTGACAGATAGTACTTTGATTTAGCACTTTTGATTTGCGATGTGAAGCTATTTCTTAGCTGCCTAAAATGCAGCCATTCTACCTCTGAGCCTGATTTCCTAGCCTTTGCCCAGGCCTTGTTTCTCTCATGAAGGAGACTAGACAGATTAGCAGAAAACCAAGGATTGTCTCGTCCCTTTACTCTAAATTTACGGAGGGGTGCATGTCTATCAATGATCTCCATAAAACCAAGATAAAAATAAGACCATGCGGTTTCTACATCAGCACACAGATCGATTTTACCCCAATCAAAATCAAACAGATCATGCACAAAACCCTGCTCCACAAAATGTTTTTTGTCTCTCTTAATGATAATGCGAGGTTTAACCTTTTGGACCTTAGTGTCCCTAATTGTGGCTACAACACAGTGGTCACTCTGATCATTAGCAAATACTCCCACAGATGAATATTTATGGGGAACATTAGTTAAAATGAGATCAATTAGGGAGGATTTATTAGGGGACTTAATGTTAGGGCGAGTAGGACTGTCAACAATCTGAGTAACATTTAAAGAGATACAAACGTTTTTAAAATCCTCTGACACTGCAGTTAACCAGTCCCAGTTAAAATCTCCAAGTAGCACTATTTCCTTGTAGTCTAGTTGTGATCAAAGATTTGCTAGTGAAGACAAGGAGTCTTTGACAGCTGAGGGGTCTGTAACAGCTCACTACCATGACCTGTTGACCCTTTGCCACTTCTATATTTATGGCTAAAAATTCAAATTGCTTACTGATCGATTTGGAAACTAATGTGGTTACACTGAACTTATTCTTAACATAAATGGCAACGCCACCACCTTTATTAGGCCGGTCGGTACGATACACATTAAAACCATTTAAGGCAATGTCAGAGGCCAAAATAGATTTGTTTAGCCATGTTTCTGATAAAACAATGACGTCAGCGTCAGTTGAGCTCGCCCAGATACGGACAAAATCTAGTTTACCTAACACATTCAAGTGGATGAAACCCAACCCAGACCTAGCTTTAAAATCAGCAGGAGTAGCGATCTGACTACTACTACTGGGCGGACCAGGGTTAGGTTGTACATTTCCTGACAGTAATAACAACAACAACAACAACAACAAAAACAGGCATCTTTTCCTCTTAAACGACACACATACATTGTCATCTAATTTAGAAACACCGGAAAAGTCTGCGAGAGTGTGATTTGAGCTTAAGAAGCAGTCCTGAAGAACCATCATTGCAGGAAAACAAAAAAGACAAACATATTTTGTCGAGCAGATTGTCTGTGACAAGGCAACCGGTAATTGTTTGAGTAACACATCCGAACATTTGCAGGGGATGCCCACTGCGGGTAGCAGAACAGACCTGAATCCAGTAGACTCCTCAGAATGACTAGAGATCTTCTCATAGTCCAAAACAGTTAACAGGCACAGCAGAATCCCGATATGGGCCATTTTCCCAGACCAGCACACAGTATCCGCGATGTTCCTGGAGCAAAATCAGCACAGCAGCAAAGGACAGGCGACTACAGCAGCGTGGAAGCGCTCCGGTCCCTCCGTGGTATCCCCGGGGTGAAAGCAGGCCTCTGCAACAGCAGAACCAGGACAGGTGGAAAGCAGGCCCCAGCGGTGGTAAAATCCTCCTCCGTACAGCAGCACACGCCCGGTGGAAGCAGGCCAAGCCCGAATCGTGGATCCACTCCGTCTCTCCGCGACGACTCCGGGGTAAAAACCTCTCCAGTACAGCCGTATTCTACAGGTGGGAGCAGGCCTCCGTAGATCGCAGATCGCAGAATCGCAGGCAGCAACAGGTGGAGCCGCTCTGTCTCTTCGCGACGAGCAGGCCTCCGTAAATCGCAGATCACATGCAGCAACAGGTGGAGCCGCTCCGTCTCTTCGCGACGTCTCCGGAGGAAAAACACCTCAGTACAGCCGTACTCACAGGTAGGCCTCGGCAGATCGCAGACAACTAAAACTACTACTTGTATAAGCAGGGATGGCTAAAAGTTTGTAAGCAGGAGAGCTAGATGCTAACAGATGCCAGATGCTAACAGGTAGTGCGAGCCTGTAGAAATTGCGACTGCCTCCAATGACAGCGTAGGATCGACTGTCTGACAACGTGTTGGAGCACAAGCCAATAGAAGCACGAGTGTTACATAGTGATGTCACTGTGTACAGAAGTAAACAAAGAGGACCAATGGAGGCGTTTCAGGCAGGGGGGAGTGTTTGGGAGAGAAACTCCCTCTGGAGGGAACACAGGGATTTTAGCCTTGCAGACCATTTACATGCACAAAAACGTATACACACTACAGGGAAGGGCAAACCATAAAAAACAGAATACGGCTTCTTTAAATAGCAAATCATTCTGATATCTGTGTATATATTTTCATTATCTCCTTCAGGTGGAAAACCCCAGTATGCCAAATGACGAAGGCATCACTCCTCTTCACAATGCCGTGTGTGCGGGCCATCACCACATTGTAAAGTTCCTGCTGGACTTTGGAGTCAATGTGAACGCAGCTGACAGTGATGGATGGTCAGTACCTTCAGCCGCTCGCTCAATCATGTAATTATGGAGTCAGATTTGGGTCAATATTCTAGCGCGTAAAACAAGCTACTCACGAGCTACTCACGAGCGGGAAATGTGCTTTTACACGCGCATAAAATGACCCTCGCGCACAGATTAAACCCCCTCTTGCTCGCTCGCGGGAATATCAGCCTCGCGGAGTCTGAGTACGCGCGCGTGAAAAGTTTCTGGCACTTTGGGGCGGAGCCACTGGACTTTGATTGACAGCTGCCAGGAAACCCGGAGTTGCCAGATTTGATAAATGCCTGAACTACCAAGAGCCGAGGAGTGACAGCTGCAAGATCAGTTGGACGAGATTGAATGGTAAAGTTGTCCATAAAACACTATTATATTCGTAAAGTGTACAGCTTATATATATATATATATAAATTAATTTTATATAAAACAATATATTTTTGAGTGGGCTGTATCTGTCGAAAATTGCATGTATATATATATATATATATATAAATATAATTGGTTGTAAAAATTGTTTTTTTATTTGCTTGATACAAAAGGACATTCTTTATAACCAATTGCTTTATTATCACGCATTTGTAATATTTGTATGCTAGAACTGTTGTATTCTTTTTGAAAAATAAAAAATAAATAGCTCACTTGTCATTCATTTTTATCCTTAATTATCCATCCAACACTGAAAAGGTGGTCCTTGTGAAGAATCTCATCACTATATTCCCTCAGCTGAAAGTCATTTACAACAATAGTTTGCTGAAGATTAAGTTTGTTTTAACCAAGGTATAAGGTTTTTTTAGGTGTGATTTTATGAATTATCTATTCTGTCAACATTTGATGAATTAGAAAAATATTAATATTTTTAAATGTTAACAATTATTTTCTTAATGACATATTGTGCTAATGAAATCCTTGTAAATATTTTGAATAAAAACCATATCCACCACCTGGTACGTCCAGTAATCGTCATTGACACACAATGTGCAGATATAACACAATCAAATGTTAATTCTGGTTAAAGAAATATAACACAAAATGTGCAGAAATAACAAATGAGTGTGTTCATCTTGGTTACACATTTATGACACACAATGTGTAAAATGTGCACATTGTGTGTTAGGGGCATGTAACACATTTTGTGTGTAAAAATTATTTACACATAAATAAACACAACACGTGTTGTCCCTGAGCACACTCTGTGTGTTGAAATTCAACACATGTTGTGTCATTTTTGACACATCCCTTCTAAGAGTATACAGCAGACAGTAGCTAGAAATTTTCGACAGATACAGCCCACTCAAAAATATATTGTTTTATATCAAATTAATTTATATATATATATATATATGCAATTTTCGACAGATACAGCCCACTCAAAAATATATTGTTTTATATCAAATTAATTAATTTATATATATATATATATATATATATATTAGCTGTACACTTTACGAATATAATAGTTTTTTATGGACAACTTTACCATTCAATCTCGTCCAACTGATTTTGCTGCCGTCACTCCTCGGCTCTTGGTAGTTCAGGCATTTATCAAACCTGGCAACTCCGGGTTTCCTGGCAGCTGTCAATCAAAGTCCAGTGGCTCCGCCCCAAAGTGCCAGAAACTTTTCACGCGCGCGTAGACAGACTCCGCGAGGCTGATACTCCCGCGAGCGAGCAAGAGGGCTGTCGCAGAGCCGCTCGCGGGGGTTTAATCTGCGCGCGAGGGTCATTTTATGCGCGCGTAAAAGCACATTTTCCGCTCGTGAGTAGCTTGTTTTACGCGCTAGAATATTGACCCAAATCTGACTCCATAGTAATAGTCCAGACTAATAATAGCACAGTGGCTGCTGAAGGGCTGCAGGGTGTTTGGGTAATGAACACGCTCTGTGATGCTGCGGCTCAGAGGCAACAGTAACACACATAATTGCATTTCCAAACGCGCTTTTGACTCAGCTGCCCGGGCAGTATTGTGGGAAGAGATTAGCAAGTCTAATGAGGATCCAAAACCCAAAGTTACTTGATTTAATTACAGATGCATTTTACTGGCTTCATGTTTAATAAATACATGTTTCTCGATGACATTAATTGTGTTAACCCTCTTTAGTATTTACTACAAGTGCATTACGGAAACATGTTTGAGCTTTCTCGATTGAGTTTTGAGTCTTTTTTAAATCATATTTGAATATTTTCCCTCCCAGGACTCCTTTGCATTGTGCAGCTTCCTGTAACAGCGTCCACCTCTGTAAGATGCTGGTGGAGTCAGGGGCGGCCATTTTTGCCACAACAATTAGTGATGTGGAAACAGCAGCAGACAAATGTGAAGAAATGGAGGAGGGCTATACCCAGTGTTCCCAGTTCCTCTATGGTAGGTTCATACAGACAGAAACATTGTGACCCAACAAAACGTAACTCAAAAACAACTTTAAAAACTGTGAAATCTCGACTGAAAGCAACATAATCATAACTGAAGTTGTAATTCTAACCATGAACACTCTGTACCTCTCACAGGCGTCCAGGAGAAGTTGGGTGTGATGAACAAAGGCCTGGTGTACACTCTGTGGGACTACACGGCCCAGCAGGCCGATGAGCTGTCCTTCAGCGAGGGCGACGCCCTCACCGTGCTGCGTCGCCGTGACGACACCGAGACAGAATGGTGGTGGTCGCGACTTAGCGACCGCGAGGGATACGTACCCAGGAACCTACTGGGGGTGAGAGAACGCTAAGACACTATTACAACAGACGCCTTTCCATAAATATTTATATTTGTTCATATCATCTTTTTATTAGTTTCACTCATGGAAATAAAGACAAAACAATTCAGAAAGCATGTGGAACTTGCAACCGTTCACATGGGAGTAGTAAGTCCTAAGTTACCTGCCCCTTACTCAAAAATAAATGGTTGGTCGATCACAGTTGCTTATTAACCAATACTAACAGTAACATGAAAACAAACAAAATAATGAACCATCAGAGAAACAGATTAGATGGAATCTTCATACTGTAGAATGATTCTTTCTGTATCAAATGTATTGGAATGAATAGTTGGACCATTCAGAGAGTGAGCTGGATACAGCATTGGAGGGGGGGCTTCTAATTTTCCTATGAACGTTTTCAGGCACTCTTCCATTTCCAATTCGACCAAAGCGCATGCGCATTTGTGATGCATTAAGCCCCACCTCCCTGCCTTAAACCCAGTTACGCCTCACGTTCGTTCTCAGCTCCACTTAATGAACTGAGACAGAAAATAAGTCTAGATTCTACTTTTAGCGTATTTAACAACTTTTAATAACTTCATTCTTGTGTAATTCAGTTTTTACTGAGTAAGTGGGGTTTGAATACTTAAATTAAGCATTTCAACATGTTACAAAGTTTCATTTCTTCCACATAAAAAATACATACAATTACAAAATATATATGAAAAATGTAAAGAATAATAGATTAAAGAAATATACAAAGAGATAGAACATCAAGCAGTTGATGAATACAACAGGTGTCATCAACGCTGATTCACAGACATCACTTTCCCAACTGGGAAACGTACAAGACAACCGTTGTTTGGTTAGAATAATATAATTGTCTTTCACACAGGGTGAGGGAACTATGCATTATTGAACAGGGCTGGTGCTTCTGTGCAGAGCCGGTGAAGCCTCAGACAGGGCAGAATGCTCAGGACTCATTTATTGTACCAGTAAACCCAGCTATAAAGCCTTAATAAAACTGTCCATCACTGTGTGCCTTGGCATTAACAGAAAGAAGTATGTGAAATGTAAATGTACCCACACTCTTCTAGTGAACGAGCTGTGATCAGCAGAGGAAACTCTTTGTCCCCTCAGTGTCTTCAGATCGCTTCATGATGTTCAGCCACCTTGAGAGCCATGTTAACATGATGTAATAACCCTGCCCTTTCTTTCTCTCTCCAGCTGTATCCAAGGATCAAACCCAGACAACGCTCACTGGCGTAAAGCCCAGATCAGACGCTACTTGCACACACGCATGCACAGAGAAGAAGAGGAGCCGCATGTGGGAGGAAGCATTAGCCAGGGAAGAAAGAACAAAGGAAGCAGGAAGAAGAGAAAACAAAGAAGGAGCTCGCAGAAACTTTTTCCATTTGTTTGGATGTGATGCTGGAACCACAAAGCCACTTTATGCTAGAATCATAATGTATATTTTCACTGCAGTAAAAGGAAATTGCCTGTTATTTTGAGCTTGGCAACTTCACACTAGTTCAGCCGCATGAGAGAAGCTAAGTAGAAAAATATCTTGAGGCTCAGGACATGAAAACACGAGCTCAGATTCATACTGACATTCATCCAAATAACCTCATATTTGAACTTTATTTTTGTATGGTGTAAGGAGAAGTGGAGAGAAGATTGAAATGCAGTACAGGTCAAAGTAAGTGTGAAAGAGAAGCAGGAGAGAGGAACGTGAGGTAGTGTGTCTCTGAATGTGTTAAAGGGATTTAGATGGAGCAGTGTTAGTCTGGAGTAAAGTTGGATGTGCAACCACAAGACTAACAAAACAGGATCCAGCAAGTGTATGATGCATGGTGATCCACAGCAAACCACATGTTGACAATAAAATGTTATGGCATGGTAACAAAACCTTTCGTTTGAACTGACACCAGAAGAATATTTCATTTCTGGCAAAATAATAAAAGGAGCATCTGTAAATGATTATGAATGTCTCAAACGTTTACTATAGAGTGGTGCAGGAATGAGTCCTAAACCTAGGAAATGAGTTAGCATTTTATTTATTTTTTTATTCTCACCTTTTTTTTTTAACATGTTTTTTGTTAGATGCCTGTATTAAGGTCTGTGGTTAACCCAAGCTGAAGAGACTTTCACGCTTTGTCCTGCGACATAAAATTACGTCAGTAAACACCACACTTGTGAATATCAGTCGTTAAAACAGCGGTTGCTTACAGTACTTGCTTCTAAATAAGACTAAACGTCATCACGCCCACCATTAGCCACCTTTAGCTTAGCCGTGGTGACCTGAAGTCATGTGATTCTGATGTAGCTTGTTTATAGCCTCACGTTAGCTTTTGACTTCTGGCGATTGCTTTGACGCTTCACGAGTCATAAAGTGGTGTTAATATGTGGAGGTTATCCTGCTGAACAAAGCGTGTAAGTAACAGATCCATGTGTATGCCCCAGAGTTTCTTTTCTGGAATATTCCGAAATCCAATAGAAACATTCCATTGACTTTTTTTCTAGAGAGCCCTTGCGATGCTAACCTCCAGGTCGGACTGAAGTATGTCATTACTTCACAACTCGACTCAGCACTGGTGCATGCTGTCATATTAACATCTGTTTAAAACCTGTTAAGCCCCAAGGTCCCCGCCGGCGGGTACTTTCTTTTTCTTTTTCACGACACTGTGTCTCAGGGGATCTTAATATTTAAGAACCTATTAATGTCTTATACCAGATTAACGGGAATAATCTCAGCTAACTGACGATACAAACCATTTTTATCAAAACAAAACACAAGTCTCATAAGAAGCATCTAAATGACCCCTGAGCGAAAAATGCTAACGCACTTTGGCACAGAACTCAAGATAAAAGATACCCTTATTACTTATCGTAGCTGCACATACAAGATATCCGATTAAAGCTGAGGTTCCACAGATTATTTAGGTATATAGTATCATCACTGAGAGATCCGAACTCGCGACAGGGGAAGCCAACACAGACATCACAACACGTACCTTTACGGAGCTCTTACAGGAGATCGTCTCACCGTAGCTGTCAATCTGATCAAAAGACTAGTTCAATGGCATTAAAACGAGAAAAAACGCGGCTGAATCGGTTAATCCATAGGTTGATAATGTTTCTGGGTAATATTTTTTTTAATTTATAATCCATAATTCCATTTTTATGTAAAAATCGGAGAGTAAAAGTTAGCTGCTAATGGTAGCCACCAGAGTTATCGCAGCTTCCGGTCTTGGCTATGCGGCAGTCTCACACACACACATAAATATAAGGAAATAAGGAGTATGTGGGAGTTCCCCTCGATTCCATTGGCTCTGACGGTTAGAAAGAGATGTCAATCAGCAAAATCGACCAAGGGGGGCCAGAGATATGGAAAATCCACCCAAATGACCCCAGAAGTGTTTTTTTTGTGCTAAACCTCTCTAAAAAGGTCAAATTTCACTTGTTTTGCATCAATCTTGATACAGGGTACTTATTATATGTTGTACTTTGGATTCCTAAAGCTTTTAGTCTACCATCCCATCATTCAAGGGTGGTTTTCATTATAAGTAATTTTTTTTGGACGGACGGACACAATAATTTACATTTTTTTACTGTGTTCAATCTGAATTTACTTTAAAATAAAAACATTTGTATTGATTCTGACACTTCTACATCCAACTCACAGGTGTAACCTTGCTTTGAGAAAAAAGATTATTAATTTAACCCTTTTAGAAGGGAAGATATGGTCATTTGTTCTGGGAATGTCATTTTCGAGCCAAGACTTGAAAAACAGGCTCGGGGCTTAACAAGTTGTAGAATGGTTGCTGCTGGTAAGAGAGGAGGAAGTAAGGTAATCAAAGAATGTGAGAAAAGGATTTTTGAAATTTGAATAATGTTGTCAAACCAAAGCAGCTATGAAATGGGAATAAGGAGGTGACAATTTTGCACACATTTAAATAAAACCTCTTTAAATGTTACACACAAAATACCTTCTCCAGTATAGGGCCTGGCACATATTGGCAATACTGATAGCAGGTTGGAACGCAACAATATGATAAGCCTGTGTTCCCCATCCACAATAAAACATATTAACTGCTATAGTGTTAAAATGAAGAATCTAAAGTGTGAAAACAATGTAACCTTCTCAAAAGTTAATGTTTAATGCCAATGATTTGTTGTTTTATTTAAACACTTGCTTTTCTACTGTTACTGTTATTATTAGAAACACTGCTGTCCTTTCTTCATGTCAGTGCTGGCACCACTCACTGCTGCCCCCTAGTGTACAGAACATGCTGTGTAAAATACGAGGCAATACGTTGTGATGTTTGGTGTGAGAATGAGGTGTGTGAACCATTACTTTGTGTATATGCAACATGTAACTACACGGCTAATGTATGATAATAATAAAGAAATTATAATCCCTACAGAGAAACAATGATGTCACTGATTTACTCAAGATGGTGTCATAGAAACGTGAATAATGAAAGGAAAAAACATCATCATAAATACACAAACACTCTCATTCCGACACACACACGAACACACACCAAGCCCGGTAATAAATGGTGGACTTTAGAGTTCTCAGGTCATTAAAGTCTCTGCACCGACAGAGGTTTTCTTCACACGTAAGTTTATTTCTACTAAAAGTCTATATATTGTAACCATTTGCAAATAGTGTTTGAATCCAAGGAAATTATACAACCTTCCCTTGTTTCAAGAGCTAAACAATACTGTCTTAAAATACACAAATGTGTTATGTTACCACATAAAACAGTATACGATAAGAAAGAGTTGTTGGAACAACCACAATATATGCCTGGAGGTTTATCTGTGAATTTCTCTGGCCATCACAAATATATAAACAAAGGTTTATATATTTATAGAACTTCTGCTGATTTCATGCTTTTTTTCTCTTTTTCCTGAATATCTTGTAATATACTGCATGTTTAGCCCACTTGCATTGCCTTAAAGTTGAACGTAGACAAGATACAAATAATAATGTGATGGCCTGAAGACATAAATCAGGTCTTTCCATTTAGTGCACATTTATAACAAATTGCCGTTCAAATAGCCATTTTAATCATATTGTTGTGTATATTTGATACATTATGATCTAAAAATATCCCAATAAATAAATACTGTTATTTCTGAAAGAGTTTTACAAGTTGCAATATTTTTGTTCCCGGAAGTGGTCGTGACGCTTGCTCTGCTACTCATGATGGCTACATCATTTAGCATGATGTACCGTGCATTGAAACTATGATAACAAATGTTAACAAATTAACCACCTTATCAGGTAAAGACCAAAAGGACGTTCAACCTGACGTTTCATTAGTCAACTTTTACTTCGTTGAAACCTATGGTTGAAACACGCTGTTATGTAATGACGAGTCAACTTAGTAATGCACGTCATTCAATGGTTGGTTCTGTAACATTACGTCACGTTACTTACTTACAAGTGTTCATGAGAGGTTGCTATGGCTCTCTTGCTTATTATACATCCATGCTCTCTTGCTACACGAGCTAGCTTTCATACACTCCTATGTAAGGATATAATGTTCTACTGATCTTAAAGACGTAAAATAAAGTATGCATTTCAACCTAATGGATGAATTATCCCTAAACACAATACATATCTAAATGAATGAAAGAAAAGCTTTCTGTAGATTGGCAATACACTTTCCATTCATTCCGCTATGATTCCACCATGATATGACTAATACTGTTGTGTGGAAATGTGTATTTTCACAAACAATGCCCAGGATTATTTCCATGTATCTCTGAACAGATTTGTACTATAGCTATCCTGAAATAAAAAATGTTTCGAATGACTAATATTAACTTAATTTTGTCGGAAATGTCTCTGTTGTGTTTGTTATTGAATCAGAAAATATGCATATATTTAACAAGCAGTGATCCAAAAATAGATCATATATAATATAATTAAATATAATACAATTATTCAATTTAATCTCCTATTGTTTTGAAGACTCAATAGGACAGGGAATACCATTGTGACAGCTAATAATATGTACAAATAATACGTAGGCATAAAGTAATGTTCCTTCTTATCCCCTCCCCACCTTACTGAAATACTTTCCTTCTCCCTAGAGACAGATTGAAGTATCTGTTGCTAACTTCCTGCCACCATTACTGGAGAACTATTACTGACTTTTACTTTGACCAAAATAATCTTAGCTAAAGGTCTTCTCACTTACCTCTTCCTTTAAGGTGGATGTTGTCATCGCACTTCTCACTCTTCTTTACTTTAGTTTAGCATTTCAGTTCAAAGGCTCAGCGCCATGGCGAGGCCTTTCCACCTGAACACCCCCCTGCTGGAGAGCGTCAGCATGACCCAGCGTGTGGGGACCCCCGTGTTCCTGAAGATGGAGAACTCTCAGCCCTCGGGCTCCTTCAAGATCAGAGGCATCGGCCACCTCTGCCAGCAGGTAGGACCCTCAGCTCTATCTGACACTGAGTCAATTAAATTATAGGCCAATGTAGCAGCTAAATATATCATTAAAATAGAAAATCTAACTTAAACTAAAACTCTCGCTGGGGCACCGCACCAGTAAGCTAATGTTACGCAGGTAAATATTGTGTATGTCCAGGCAAGAAATTGTCATCTTTGTTCCTTTATTTTCTCGTATTCCAATGATACGTTGCATCACATCAAAAACGATGATTTTCTATGACCTTTCCCGTATGTCTCCTGTGGCATTTCCTATATTTCCGGGTAAAAAACCATATGCTCGTCTGGTGCGCCAATCCCACCACCACCTGTCTCAAATACATAATAATCACAAGGTGCCCTAAATTACAGAGTGGCCCAAAACCTCCTTCAAAATAAAAGCATAAATACTTACACTAAATAATAATGCATTTACTATAACAATTAGTTGAACCATTTAATAACAAATCAATATATAGCTCCAACAGCCAATAACTGATTATGTTGCTCTCAGCTAAACATTTAGATAACACTAACATGCTTTTCTCTTCCACAGCTGGCCACAGACTCTAAAGGAGTTGTCTGCTCTTCAGGTGACATTTCTACTGTGACTCATGTTAATATCATAGACTGTTTATATAAAGGTTCATATGAATCAATTGAATACTGTATATCATTTTAGCTCACACTCTTATCCAAACAACTTACATCCGCATCTACTGTATACCTTAGACATGCCTTCAGGAGCAATGTTAGCTTTAATATTCTGCCATTTATCAAACATTTTGGGGAAATATTTTCCAAGGCCCATAACTTTGACCCAGTGTATCAGTTCTGTCCTGACTGAGCACAGGCACCTGTAGCCTTGGCTGCTGTGCTCTCAGTGTTCTGTCTCCCTGTTCCTGCCTGTTGGCGTCAGCTGATAGAGGTGTTATGATTCTATGTTCCTGCCTGTTGGCGTCAGCTGATAGAGGTGTTATGATTCTATGTTCCTGCCTGTTGGCGTCAGCTGATAGAGGTGTTATGATTCTATGTTCCTGCCTGTTGGCGTCAGCTGATAGAGGTGTTATGGTTCTATGTTCCTGCCTGTTGGCGTCAGCTGATAGAGGTGTTATGGTTCTATGTTCCTGCCTGTTGGCGTCAGCTGATAGAGGTGTTATGGTTCTTGTTATGCAGCATGTTGATTATTCTCTCAGAACTAGTTAAATACATGGGTCTGAGGTAGAGATCTTCAGAATTGACGTGGCAACTCTCCCGTGAAGTCAGAACCTCTGGCTCTTGGACTTGTGATGTGAATTCTCCGACCGAAGCTCCTAATAAACCATCAGTGTTTGACATCAGAGCTCCTGCTCTCCCCGTGTCTCCTTTGAGTCGGTGACTCCTCCTGCATCGCTACACAGAAGTTTCCCCCACAAAAAATATAATTGCGTAAATATGTTATGAAAGCACCAATAGTCAACCCCAACAATATTGTTGTCTAATATATAATTATTTGTTGTAATAATTGATATAATCCTATACGTGTTATACATTGTAGTACAATTTGCACATTTAGACTTGAACTTCTTGTGTTTTTATAAATATTTTGATGCTATTTTAATAAAACAATGCTGACTGTAATACCTCCCAGTGCGTCTGTTCTCCAGGTGGAAATGCTGGGATGGCAGCAGCGTACGTAGCCAGGAAGATGGGTGTCCCGGCCACCATCGTGGTCCCCTCCTCCACCCCTCAGCTGGTGGTGCAGAGGCTCAGAGACCAGGGGGCCACGGTCAACATCACAGGAAAGGTGCATTGGTTTTATATTTCTGATCCATCTGCAATTGTCTTCATTCTTTAGAACGGGAATGAACACAAGTTGTTTAGATGTTTGTTTTTGGGGTAAGATGGTGAATGTCTATCACAGCGTTGCAGGTGATCTTACTCCACCTTTCCCTAAAACAATACGTCTATTAGAGAAACCGCCAGACCCTCAACTCAGTAAGGCAGCCATGCATATATCATCACCATTGTTTGGTTTGAGGTGTGAGTCTGCCTTTGAACAATGTGCTTTTTCATTTACGCTTATCATGCGCTGAAACATGCATAGACTTTTACGCTTTTTCTTACTGTGCAAAATATATAAAGATTAGGAAACCAGTCTTGCTAACCTGACTTTAACATAACATTTTCAGTTGGCATTAGTTGTAATATTACGTTTTATTTATGGATGCGCAGATGTCCAGGAACTGCAAATGGAAATAGCTTAATCCGGCTGAAATGATCTCTTCTCTTCAGGTAGACATTTGTTTTTAGATGCTGTCCTTGTTAAATAAAGACATGAAGGAAAAATGCAAATAAAAGAAGAGAAAATCAAATCAGTTCTTCTCCCCAGGTTTGGGATGATGCCAATACAGAGGCTCTGAGACTGGCAGAGACTGAAGGACTCACCTATGTTCCTCCATTCGATCACCCCCTGCTCTGGTACTCCTCACAATTCAAATATCCTAATATCAAACTACTAAACTCACAATGTAATGACTAACGTCGTGCTCTCCTCTCAGGCAGGGCCACAGCAGTGTGATCTCTGAGGTGGCAGCCTCTCTGGAGGAGAAGCCTGGAGCAGTGCTGCTGTCTGTGGGCGGGGGGGGGCTCCTCTGCGGAGTCATCCAGGGCCTGAAGGACGTGGGCTGGACAGATGTATCCGTCATCGCTATGGAGACGGTGGGCGCCGACTGTTTCAACGCTGCGGTTAAAGCGGGGAGGTTGGTCACGCTGGATGACATCACTAGGTGAGACGGTAAAGGAGTTCAGATGTTTCCTGCGGTCTTTGAATGCAGCCCAACAAACCCCCCCCCCCCCCTCCTCTGTGTCTCCACAGCGAGGCCAAGTGTCTCGGAGCGAAGACGGTTTGCAGGAAGGCGTTTGAGTTCAGTCAGAGTGGCGAGATCTCCATCATCTCTGAGCTGGTGACGGACCAGCAGGCTCTGAGCGCCGTGGAGACGTTCCTGGGTCTGGCTTAAATGTGGATTTTAAAGTTTCTAAAAACTTATCTTTAAACTTTTTATCAGCCCAAACACATCTAAGAACATTCTTACTTTTGATTTAACTGGTAACATGGCCTCTATAATGAAGTTGTTTTCATATTAGCCCGTGTTTGTTTTCCTTAAAGAGCCCGATTCTGCTGTTTGGGGTTTTCCCTTTCCTGCAGTGTGTTCTATAGGCGCTTTCACACTGCGGTACTTTTCCCACAAAGGTTCATGTGAACTTAGTTCATGTGAACTCTTTTATCGCGTTCACACCAAAAAGAGCCGGTACTAAAATTAGTTCATGTGAACCTTTTTACCCCCACGAAAGTCCCTGCTAGAGAGCAGAGAGCTGCTAGAGAGCAGGGACTTTCGTGCGGCTCTCGTGAGAAAAGAGCTATATGTCTGATTGGCTGGGCGGATTGCAAACCACGCCCCGTTAAACTCCCAAAAAGTTTTGTGAAGCCGCCATTTTATTATCCTCGCATTAGCATTATTAGCATTAGCATTAGCCCAGCGCAGAAACGCAGAGAGACTAACTTATGGCAACACAAAATAAAACATGGGAGCGGTGGAGATGAGGAGGTGTCGGCGTTCTGGCGATTTACTCGGAAGGCTTCAGTAGAAGCTGCTGGGAGTCCCAGCAGCTTCTACTGAAGCCAGTCCCCAACTCCGGGGACTTCCGGCCGGGGACTTTGGGCGGCAGTATACGCCGTGAAGTGGTTTGCGGCCTGCCAGTAAACCCAAAGCAGAAGAAGAAGAAGTGACGTCAGCGGCTTCATTTGCCTAATCCACCCTCAGGGACTTTTTCCAGTGTGAACGCGATCTGTACTTAGTTCATTCGAACTAAAGAGTTCTCATGAACTAAGTTCACATGAACCTTTGTGGGAAAAGTACCGCAGTGTGAAAGCGCCTTATGTGTCTATGGTCTGCTTGTAAATGCCCCCCCCCCCCACCGCGCCTAGGCTGAAGGGCGGGACATCTCTAAGCGGTTGACCTTTCACAACAGAGCCAGCCAGATAACCAATCAGAGCAGACTGGGCTCTGGTTTCAGACAGAGGGTGAAAAGAGGTGCTGCAGCACTTGAACATAAAGCAAGGAGACGTGGAGTAGGAGTAGGATTCTTCACATTTTGTTCCAAGAAATACAATTTATCAGTAAAAACACCTCTGAAGCTTCTTTGTGTCATAAAAACAGTGGTTGCTAACAAGTGTCTAGATGAGAGTTCTAAACGTGACCACGGCAAACATTAGCCGCCTTTAGCTTAGCGGTGGTGACCTGAAGTCATGTGACCGTCATGTAGTTCCTTTATAGCCTAACATTAGCTTTTTACTTCTACAATTTCAATGACTCTTTAAAAATCCTAAAAGTAATACTTGTTGTAGATGAGGAGCGTGTGTTGGTGGAGATGGCGTGTGGAGCAGCACTGGCAGCCGTCTACAGCGGACTCGTACACAGATTACAGGATGAAGGTAACTGCTCTGGAGTCTTCCTCACCTTCAGAAACACTCCTCTACAACACGAACACTGACGCTGTGTGTGAGACTGGATTTAGGAGACATCACTGTGATATGGTTCAGAAATCCAGCATGTCTTGTTTTTCTCGTGGCAGCTCTTATGCTCTTATGTGTGGTTCTTTACTGTGCACAAGACCTTTTCACACGACAGCCATGTGTGTAAAATATGTTGGAAATGAGTCAAACTTTCTGTATGTAGTAATGTTTTTCTAAAAACGTGAGACTCCTGCAGATGATGGTCAGTTGTGTTGCTCTTCTCTTCCTTCAGGCCGGCTGCCGGCCCCCCTCGGCCCCCTTCTGGTGATCGTGTGCGGGGGCAGCAGCGTGGACATGGAGCAACTGAGCCATCTTAAACACAAACTGCACACTTAAAGTACTGTGTGTGTGAGCAAGTGTGAGTGTGTGGGGGTGCATAGCAACACGTGTCTATGTGACCGGCCATTGTTGGGCCACAACTGCTAAAAAAGTAGCATCAGTTCAGTGAATGATGTCTGGACGGATGAATCAGAGCTAAATGATTTCTGGGAATAAGAACAATTACAAGAGCTATAATATCTGATCTAAAAGCAAATGTGTGTGTGGAGTAGCAGAAAATATAAAAAATGCAATAGTTTCTTAGAAAACCCAAATGTCTTCAGTTCTGAATTATTGAGTGAGTCATTGAATATGATGTAACCTCAATCAGGCTCTCATCTCTCTGAGCTGTCAGAACACAATGACTGGTTTGTCCACATGGTGGCGTCACAGAGTCACTTCCCAGAAACACACCGGCCGTCCACAGCCTGATACAGAAACTTCATGGGGAAAAACTTTAAAATGTATTTTTTTATGTAATTAATCATAAATGATCAGCACGTCTTCTTTTTTTTTGTTTTATGTGAAAAGGTGCACCCTTGGGTGTTCTCCAAAGCAGAAATACATTTTAAATTAAAACGACAGACCCTTTAAAGCTGGATTCTTTTGTGTCACTTTCACTTGAATCGTACACAGTTAGTAGTACTTGTGGCAAGTTATTACCATGGAAACAGCTCCTCACTGTTCTGCCTGCTGTTGGAGTGTTGGATTTAACAACCTGTTCATAGTCTTTGCCTTTTTATCTCTGTTGTTATATAACATTAGTTTAATAAAAACGTACAAAGTAATATATATGTACTGACTATGACGACTTCAGTAAATATTTGATAAAATATATATATATATATGTATGTATAACTATGTTTTTATCTCCCCACATCAGTAACACACCTAGTATATTAAAAATACACTCACTGGCCACTTTATCAGGTACATCTGTTCAACTGCTCGTTAACGCAAATATCCAATCTGCGAATCACATGGCAGCAGCTCAATGCCTTTAGGCCTGTAGACATGGTGAAGAGGACCTGGTGAAGTTCAAAGAAAGAAGAAAGGTGATTTAAGTGACTTGGAACACGGCCGTTCTCTGGGAGACATGTTGATGCCAGAGGTCAGAGGAGAAAGGCCAGACTGGTTCAAGATGATAGAAAGGCAACAGTAACTCAAATATCCACTAGTTACAACAAAGATACGCAGAAGACCCTCTCTGAACACAACACATGGAGCCTTGAAGCAGAGGGGCTACAGCAGCAGAAGACCACACTGTGCCCCTCCTTCAGCCACGAACAGGAAACTGAGGCTACAATTCACACGGGCTCACCAAACCTGGATAATAGAAGATTTGACAAATGTTGCCTGGTCTGATGGGTCTCCATTTCTGCTGCGACATTTGAACAGTGGGGTCAGGATTTGTGGTAAACAACATGAGAGCATGGATCTGTCCTGCCTGGTATCAACGGTTTGGGCTGGGCGTGGGGGGGGTAATGGTGTGGGGGATATCCTCTTGGCATACTTTAGGCCCCTTCGTACCAATTGAGCATTGTCTAAACGCCACAGCCTACCTGAGTATTGTTGCTGACCATGGCCATCCCTTTATGACCACAGGGTACCATCTACTTCCAGCAGGATAACACCGTGTCACAAAGCTCAAATCATCTCCACCTGTTTCTTGAACATAACAATGAGTTCACTCAAATGGCCTCCACGGTCACCAGATCTCAACCCTATAGGGCACCTTTGGGATGTGGTGGAACCAGAGATTCACATCACGGATGTGCAGCCGACAAACCTGCAGCAACTGCGTGATGCTATCATGTCAATATGGACCAAAATCTGTGAGGAAAGTTTCCAGCACCTTGTTGAGTCTATGCCACGAAGAATGAAAGCAGTTCTGAAGGCAGAAGGGGGTCCAGCCCGGTACTAGCAGGGTGTAACTTATAAAGTGACCAGTGAATGTACATTCTGGTGCTTGATTGTAAGCAATTAACATCATATATTCGTCTGCTTGAAGAAGTTAAGAATCGATTTACATTATTTATTCCAATAGTTTTTTGTAATGGCAGCATGTAAAAAAGGCATTGTGCGTACATTATAAATTAAATAAATAACAATATGCACATCAATAGTGAAAGAGATCTATCTATAAAGTATCTTTGTTCGATACACAATATACATTTACAGAATTGAGGTTACATAATAGGCCTACCTACTAATAACAAAATATAAACATTGGATACGCATTGTAATTGAAATATTTATATTAAATTATTTCAGTGTGATAAAACAATATATGAAATGATAAATGTAAATATAAAACATGATCAACAAGTCAATTTATGGCAGTTATGTGTTCAGTCCTCTGAAGAACCAGTGGTCCCAGCAGAGGCTGATAAACCCGGCAGCTCTGACTGGTGTGTGGACAGCACAAGGTCATGCAGGGAACATGATTGTACTGTAAATGCTCCCCTCTCATGTCAGACTGTGTTACTCAAACGCCTCACGGCCCATTCAGGAGCACACTGAGATGACAGGACTGAAGACGAAATGTGGATGAGCAATTGGCGAGATTGGAGAATTTAAATTATAAGAAATGATCTTTTCTTTCCATGTTTGATGAAATATTGGTTGGATTTCTCTCTTGGTTTAAATGCTGAAGATGTAGCAGACCCACAGCTGAGCCCCCCCCCCCTTCTGGTGTGATGTGGGCCGCCTGCAGACAGGAAGTTAATGGACGAACCGGCCCATTTCTATGACAACAGGAAGGAGCTGCTTTGATGAGCCCAGCAGAGGGCATATGAGCCGGCTGCAGCTAAAAATAGCTCCAAGTAAACAAGAGGATGGAGAGGAGAAGGAAACGGTTCAAATACGTCTACACATGGTGCACGTGTCTGCCTGTTTTACAATCTATTTTCCTAACACTGTAATCCAAATGTTATTTCATCCAAGTTTTGTTAAATTGCCTCAAAATGTTTTGTTTTGGGATCAATTCTATAAATTAAAACTACTTCTTCTAATGTATAGCTAACCTCTTCCTTCCAGCGCAAAGCTCCCCACATCTGGATAAAAGTCACTCTTATAGTTTTTAAAACTTGTTTCCAAATACATCTTGGATAAACACACTGTAGGGGAAACCCTGCTTGTGCTGCTGAAACATGAACATAGAAACACACATTTGAAAACGTAAAACATTACTATAAAATGGTTTGGTAATGTGTTCTCTCTCTTTTGTAATTGAACTTGTAAGTGAACAAGCCAATGCAGATGTTGGCTATATGCTAGTGTGTCTGAGGGTGTAAAATCTAATGTATGTTTTTATCTGAGGAAGTTCATTTCCATAGGTCGAGGCTACACAAACTGTCAAGTAGTCGTCAGATGAATGTGGTTTCTATTCGGACTTATCTCTAATATTTACCTCAGTCTTGTGAAATACTGTTAGATCTTTACAAACCACTAAAACAATTAATACAAAAATAACTCAGAGGCGGTATTGGAAGAAGTACTCAGATTGTATGTAAGTTGTAAATATACTCTGTTACAGGTAATCATAAAATGTAAGTATCAAAATAAAAAGTACTCATTAAGCGTAATGGCTCATTTCAGATATATACAGTATGTATTAAATGACTTGATTATGGTTATCGATGCATTCATGTGTTCATCTGTTAGAAAAATATCACTCGTCACCGGCTTGGTCTTCAATATCAGGATACATGTATTTCCAACCCAGTCTCACAAAAAAACGTGTAATAACTACGTTGGTCCACAACGTAGGACGTAGTATTTCTACAAAAACGCCTCTGAAATTGTAAGATCCCTACGTTTTTTTTCACCATTCATTCCAATGGCTGGCGTCTATGTCACGTGATCTTCAGATTTCTCCCTGCAGAAAAAAAAAACATGGCCGAACTTCGTTTTATTCTCGGTGTAAAATGCCTATTTTAAAGTTAGTTTGGCCATTAAAATGCGTTTTCATGTCATTTGATGCGAGAACTATGAGTTGTTATTTCAGATTATATGTACAGTACATGATCTTTAGTTTGCTAGTTATTACGAAGATTACTTCAGGAAATTGTGTCCATACCACGTTTTCATTGTTACCAAGGTGGTTGCTAGGGACGCAGCTATCGATATTATTTCTGTTATGTTGTGTAACTGTTTAATGGTGTTATCTTCTACCCCCTTCCCCGTCAATTTATAGTGTTGGTCCACAGCGCAAATGTATTAGTTTAACAAAATCTGCATCTAAAATTGTGGCATAGATACGTTATTTTCCCCTGTGATCGTTTTTGTAGAAATACTACGTCCCAAGTTGTGGACCAACGTAGTTATTACACGTTTTTTTGTGGGACTGGGTTGATTTATTATCCTTGCAAGAATGGAAGTAGTCATCACACACAGAGGCTGCGTGGGACAAATAGTTCCCTGAACAGTGTCCTTCACATGCTGATATACAAGAGAGTGAGTTACAGTCAACAAGATGCAGAATACAGGTTCAAAGCAGTATTCTGGCTTTAGTTCAAATTAGCTAAGGCCCACGTAAGCAATGAACATGACAGTCATATGTCTATCTCCATAGAGGCTGAATCATCATGTTAATCACATAGCTATCATATGCCTAAAACTGTCCTGACGCTCTTCTGGTAATCACATCCGGTTACGTACACAGCTACTGTACGTAGGGCCTTTGTCAGGGGCGTCGTCTGGACCTGAAAACATTCGGGGCTTAGCCCACAGTGGCGGCGGCCGTGGCGCTACAGTGGAATTTTCTACTGCAACACTCCCCACACGCACACACAGTACACCCGCGACTGTTACAATGAAGGCTCGATAATCAGCTCACGGCATATAGGCAGGGGTAAAGTGCTATTTTTTACGAGTGGGGGGCGGACCTCACTTCCTCTAGGGGGGTCCGGGGGGATGTTCCCCCGGGAAGATTTTTTTTAAATATTGAAGTTTATTTATAGTATTTTACTAATCAAACCGTTTGAGACCCACTGAGATAACGGCGCATTCACACCTGCCTTGTATAGTCCGGTTGAATCGAACCCTGGTGCGTTTAGCCGCTTGGTGCGGTTCATTTGGGTCGGTGTGAACACAGTCCGAGACCTCTTAAGTGAACTAAACAACCGGACTCTGGTCCGCTAAAATAGGTGGTCTCGGAACGCTTGCTTGCGAACTCTGGAGTGGTTCATTGCTGGTGTGAACGCAGTCCGCACCAAAACATAGGAAGCGTATTTACGTGTCACAAGAGTCTTTCAAGACATCCGCGGTTGTTAATTTAAAGAGTGAAGCAGAATTAAGTGTTGAACAGTGTCGTGTAAAGTAAAAATGCTCCGTCAAAGGTAAGATCACCCGTCGTCGGTGAAACGCCCCTCCTTACTGCAGAACGTCTCTCATTATGTGTTATAATGTTTTTTAACGGACGTTGTCTGATTATATAATCATATGCGCGGGAACGCTAGTGTCTGTTGATCTCCAGATTAACAGCAGCAATGAGAATAACCTGCCGAAAGTGCCGATGCTCCATGGCGGAGGCTCCGGTATGGCCGGGATTTGCGTTTTTACCCCCTTAATGTCTCACCAATGGTTGAACAGCATTTCCGTGCACATGACTTGTGTTTAAAGTTTATAGTCCGTTTGAGTTTTGCCCGTGTGAACGCAAACCGAACCTTCTGAAAAATGAAACAATGTAACAAACTGTCGTCTGGTGCGCACCAGAGAAGCGGACACTCAGAGATTCCTTTAGTTTAGCTCACCTGAGTCTGTGCCACACACACACACACACACACAGAGCCGAGCTTGAATGACACAAGCACACGTTTATTTCCATGTAACTCTCTGATTGGTCTGGTGTCATGCCTCTGTTGCATTCGCTGAACACGGGAAATTACAGTCCTACCGTCCTCTCTTGTGTCATGATGAAGTTCACGTAAAGCACGGTTAATGTATTATATTATTGAGGGAGAATTGTCCGGGGCTACAGAAAAAACATTCAGGGCTAAAGCCCCGAATGCCCAGGCCAGGCGACGCCTCTGGCCTTTGTTATCATGTGCTACTCTGATATTAGAAGAGCACATTCAGTATTTTCCCAACATCATCCTGGTGAAGGTGCAGCCATTATAATTACTTTATATTCAGCTGCTGGATATCTTAACAACTATGTCATTGTTTATTAATTACTACTGCGGGTGTAAGATAAATGTAATACAACTAAAATATTTAATTCTTAAATAACGTGTATAAATAGCATAAAAGAATGATAAAAATGATATCAGAATCAGAATCGAGTTTATTGCCAGTTACGTTTACACATACAAGGAATCTAAGAAAAATAAATAACAATAAAAGGTCAAAAATATAAAAGATAATAAAAATAAGCATATTTAAGAAACTATTTAGCATAACAAAATAATAAAGACACGTTTTACACTCAAATATACAAAGAACCTTAAAAGCTAAAAAAACTAAAAGACTTAGGACAATGAATATATGACAATTAACTAAATGTTATTTTTTAAAGTTGAGGGCTGTGCAGAAATGTGAAAGCTGAGCATGAACATGGTTCACATTATTAAGACACAAAAGGAATAACATGTTGTTCTCATGATGTCCATCAATGTAAGGCATGATGTTTGTGATATGAAAATACTTTGCAGCAGTGACCACGCAAGTATTATACTTTTGTGTGCGTGAATGGAGGATTACAATGATTTAACAAAGTGCTTTTCTGATATGTATTCTCAATGTCAGTGTATTACAAAGTACACAATCTTTGGAAATATGGATTCTACATAGAGTGAGGGTACAGAGAGTGTTACAGAGTGCTTCGATCGCCCAAAATCGTTTCTGTTTTTTGACAGGAAATCACAAGGTAGAGCTCAGCTGCTGCTATTTGTATCCATGGCAACCTGATGAAAGCACAGGAGTGAACCTCAACATGAAATAGATTTTACAATTGTACAGTAACATTGGGTTGACAATCACAGAATATAGAAGGCAGTGATGAACACAAGCAGTGTCTTTCTGACTGACAGAGATAGCATTAGCAGCATTAGCTTGATTAAAGTTTGATTAGTGAAGGTTTAATGAACCTCAACAGGAAATGGGGGACTGCAGCAGAACGATTACAATCCGATTAGAATAAATACAGGGCCCTGAAAGCAATGGAGTAATTACAGAATCACACGTCAAGGTTATAAAGTGTCTTTGAGTATCATTAAGGCTGGTTCAGGCAGGGCAAAGGTAAAACACATTCCACAGAGTTTGCAATGAGCTTTTTAAATTAGAGCTAACACATTGGGTTGTACTGCAGCTTGTAGGAATGGATGTATCAGAAAGCCTTTGCAAATGCCTTGGTGTATTACTATATCTATCTCTCGTGAAAGCACAGCTGCTACTGAAAACAACACTGTGAATATCGAGCAGATATTCTCATTATTACAGATGCCTGCTCTATGAATATTTAATTCCCAAGCTGTATTTAATACCTGACCTTTAAGATGCACGCTGCAGGGGAGCAGATCACCATCACATACATGAGAGCACTTCAGGAGTTACAGTACATGGTGATGATCGGTTGCAATTTATGTTTTTTCCTGTAGGACTACATCTCTTATTGACTTCTTCTGACTCCCAGAATGCTTTCAGCGACTTCCAGAAAAGGTCTGTGATGATTCATTTCTTCCTGTATGAAGTCATTGTTGTGAGGCGCTGACAAACACTTATTGTTTTCATATAAGTGGTAGATTAAAGGAGCTGGCTCTCATAAAGCAGGACTGACAACCACTGCCGAAGAGAGCTGAACATTTCCCTCAAGTACATGTCAAAAAGAGACTAAAGTCTAAGACTAAGTCCCCACAGACTGAGCCACTGCCGCCCCAAGTTTAGGTAAACTAAGCCACATTTTTAGGCTGTTGCAGCATAAATAAAGTTCAATCATTTAGCTACGCTTTCCTTAATTATCTTTTCATGACAAAGCTACATTTTTAGGAATCTAGATAGATCATCATTTGTGAATTGAATTGGCATTTGATTTGATTTGAGTGTCTAATACAGCCAATGACTTTGGAGTTAGCTAAACTAACAAAGCCTACATTATTAGGGTCCATATAAAGAATATGAATAAAGATAGTCATTTGAAGGAAATGCTTAAACACAAGATGAGGAAACCATAGTGAATAGCATACATCGCAATAATGTATCCTAACTCAGCCAACTTAAAATAACCTTCCAATTAAATAATATCATTTACATTACCAGTTTCATTAGCATCTTGCTCATCAGCTATTATAATAGCCTATTAGCAACTATACACAGCTAGCTATAATAGATCTTAGCTAAACTAAATTAACTTTAGGGTCAACATCATTGAACTATACAATATATAAATGTGGATAAAGTTGGTTTAAGGAAAATGCAATAGAAAGTAATTCTAAGATGTCAGAATTGTTTATATGGGTCAGCGTAGCTACAACATGACAATATACTGTATGAGCAATGCAGGCCTATAGGCATATTAGCTCAGGGAAAGATTGTAATGCAAGAATCATTTAAGCGTTTGAATAACTTTGCCTCATCTAAGCCAAATTAACATACATTTTATATTTAGTAAGCACATTTCCATCATTGAGTTTCATTAGAATCTCTCTGTTGAATTAGCTATTAGCTCGAAGCTATTTGCACTGTATGTAGCTGGACAACATTTACTTTTGGGTTGGCTTAACTATATTATTAAACTGCATGAGTTGATCATTTATCCCACCATATAATAGTCATTTGCTATGACAATCTGTTAACGAGTGATACAAAACCTGTACTCTGTTTTGCAGCGTATTTTTTATTAGCTAAAATGTATGAATCATATTTGTACCGTTTTCTCCTCGGTGTCTCGTGGACCGTACCACAGTACGAACCCCCCTCCTTCCGCTGTGTAGTGGACCGCTCCCCCTTCTTCACCGCCCGCTCTGGTGGAAGCCCAAACAGAACATCATGGCGATGGATGGTAAGTAGGCCAATAACCGCTCTCCTTTCTTCCTAATTAACTTCAGCTGGAACTAACACACGCAAAAGCTGAATCCTTAAAACCAAACATGATTCCAGTAGAACAGTGCTTGTTGTAGCTGGAAGCAGGGAAAGTTGTTATATTTATGTTACGCGGTTATTTCCCTGTGCTGTGTGCGAGAGTAGAATCTTGAACGTTAGTGCTGAAGGGAAAGCTCCGGTGTTTCAACTGCACACCGTTCAGTTCAACAGAAACGCTGTTATATTATATATTTGCTGGTTGTATTTATACTCTTAATTAACAAAACTCTGGCTGTCATTTGTATTTTTTTACCGAAGTCTGCTGTTCGTTATTAAGCTTTGCTGCATGCTGGTACTTTACAACTTGGGTAAAAGAGAGAACACCTCATACTAATGGGGTTTGAGGTAGGCTATCAATAGCCTATTAGCATATCAGGTGTTAGCCCAGGATAGCATGCTTTGGAAAGCTCTCGTTCAGATTTTGAATATGAAAAATCTGCTGTTTAATAGAGCATTTCCTGTCTGTATCATCCTCTCTTTTTTGGGCAGCACAGTTAACAGTTTTTACAGATATTACACCTTTCTACTCTGCTTATATGACTTTGCAGGTTGAAAGCAGCTTTGTGTGTATTTAATCAGTTTAAATATCATAATGCTCTCCTCTGAGGGATACCGTTTTTAAATGTCACTGGAAAGAGGACATCACAGCTCAATGACCTGGTTTATAATGATAGAGAGTGGGAGTAAAACATTTGTTATTTCAGAATATAGATACAAAGCTGTGTTTCGGGATAGATCATCTACTTATTGAGATTATATAAAGCGAATCTTTGTTAATTAAGTATAAAGTAAACACATATATCCGAGAATCTCTTTGTGATTATACGATTGGACATGATTAAACTTCACTAGTTTTTTTTTAACTAAAATGAGGCTTCACGGTAAAAGCTGAACAAGTTTAACAGGTGACTTTTAAGCCTTCATATCTTTTTTAATTCTATTTGGCAGTGAAGCGGTGACAAGAGAATAGAGGACAGAGAGACATGTAAAATACAATTACAACGTTTTCTTATAGAATACAACTCTCCTATCTCCATGCTTTAATGTTCAGAAAGCCCTTTATTGTTCTCACTTTTCACCCTCTGTCTGAAACCAGAGCCCAGTCTGCTCTGATTGGTTAGCTGGCCGGCTCTGTTATGATTGGTCAACCGCTTAGGCTAAGTGTTGGGACATCTCTATCACTACAATGTGTTGGAGCGCTAGCCAATAGAACCACACGTGTTCCATAGTGATGTCATTCTTCTGTTATAGAAGTAATCAAAGGGTTCCAGTCAATGCATTTCTTTTTTTGATGTATCAGTCTTTTGGGCCAGTTGAACCTTTTTTAGGTCAGAGGGGTTCGAGACAGAGGGGATGACATCAAAGAGTCCACATGCTCAAGTTGAACCTGCATCCACCGCAGCAGGGACTCAAGTGAGCTATTTACAAGCTTTCTTCGCTGACATTTTGACCTTTTACTATTCAAGAGAGTCCTTGTGAATCTTTTCAATTTTTATTTGAGCTATTTTTGGCTATTTTATCCCATAATTGAGTGTTTTTCCCTGCATGTTATGGAAGAGGCCATATCAAAAGCTGAACAGAAGCATCTCGTATATTCCCAATATTAGCTGCTCTTTACCTCTGCATTACTAAATGTCAGCATGCCTCACCTCCAGCAGGGTCGAGAGTGAGGGGCCGCTGGGGCTCAGCAGGTGGTAGAAAGTGGGTGGTGGGATCCACAGTCCCTGCAGTCAACCAGATGATGTGTGTTTGAGCTAACGATGCTTAACGACACATTGCTCCTGATGGACAACGGTGTGTGTGAGTGATATCATGTCAAAAGTATGAAACGAGTCATAGTGTAATATGTCGGAAATATCGTACAGAAAGTCAAAGTATAGCTTTTAGAAAAGTCATATAGCATGTTTACATTCTTTTGAAGAAATCATAGTATACAGTATTGTCAACAAATCTGAAGAAAGTCTCAGTTTATTATGTCGAAATTGAAAATATCATGTAAAAAGTCATGGTATAGATTGTGAATGTGTGTGAATGGGTTAACGCCGACTTGTAAAGTGCTTTGAAGGCTCGCAAAGACTGAAGAAGAGCTCTATAAATGCAGTCCAGTAACAGTCATCATAGCTCCTGCTCATCAGGTGAGATGCTGGTTCTCCCCTGCCCACTTCCCTCTGTGCTCGTCAGCAAAGTGCTACTTCCTTAAGGCCATCGTTATGTCAGCAATATTTCACCAGAGCTCGCTGTGTGCTGAGATTTACAGTGCAGCTGTTGTGAGGCTGTTTCTGTCTATACTGGTAATGTTAGGCTGGGTGAACGTCATGACGTGACACGAAGCAGGAGCCCCTTTCTGCCTGACATCTTGGAGAGAAGGATGAATTCAGTGTTGTGATGTCTTTTTTGTGGAGTTATTATGTTGTTGAAAAGGGCTTTTATCTACAGTGCAACCGTTCAGCTCATACAAAGTTGCATGAACAGTAGGGTTGTGAAAATGAATGAAAATGAGATAACCTATAACATATGGACTAGTGCAATATTCAAATCGCAGTATTTGGTAAAGGCAAAATATGTGAAAATATTTTTAAAAGTCCTTGTTTGGTACAAATCCTTGTTGAAAATCACACCATGAGCCTTTTGCTGTATTTCTCAATGATTATTTGAATGGTGTTTTTAAAAATATTGCAATCATAATACCAGTCAAAGTAATCACAATTATTTGTTTCTAAATGTTGCTGCTTATATAATTATAAGTAGCGCTTTCAAGCTAAAATCAATAAATAATAATGTGAAATGCTATTTTTAGCATTGCATTACATTTAAATGATTTCTCTTACATGTTACAACCTCTTTCCTCCTGCAGTAGATTTAGCCTCCAGTGCGACACATGTATGCTTCCATAGCCTCAAGGCTCATGTTGAAACAGCTTTTATTCTATTCCATTTTACAATTCAATTTAGTCATCTCCTAAACACAACTACGGTGTGGTTAGTAATTAATGAAAAACTATGGTCACAAGTTCCTCAACAAAGCAATTACAGGACATACACATTTCAAAAACAACAACAATAGAAATAGTGCAAGTTCAGGTGTAAAGTAGTCTTGTTGGCTGCGGGATCAAATCGTCTCAGACGGCAGCAGAGAGGCTTTAGTAGAGTATTAACTGACATTCAGTCGTGTGATCGCGTAGGTTTATTTTCCTAATGCGGGTTGTGTTTTGGTTCTGAAGCATCGTCCTAAAACGATCAGCGTGTCTTAAATACTGAATCAATGAGAACTCCTAAACCTTCATCATTGGATTACACAGCAGGGTCTCTGTGAAAAGATCAATGAGGGACTTCATTAAGCTAGAGTACATGAATGCTTCTGCTGTTAAAAAGGCTCATGAACCATGGAAATATGAAAAAGTACAGTTTGTAGCAAATATACAAATATTAATTGGATAATATGTAGAAAATATCATGAAAAAGTCAAAGTATAGTATGTAGAAAATGTCTTGAAAAAATTCAAAGTAAAGTGTCTTAAAATGTTGGAAAAAAGTCATCGTAAAGTATGTCAAATATACAAAAAGTTGAAAATATAATAAAAAAAACATGCCATGGCAACAAATGCCATGAAAAAGTCTGAATATAGTATGTTGAAAAATGTAAAAAAAGTAATATTTTGTATGCAGAAAATGTCGAAAAATGGTCAGAATGTGGGAAACATGAGGTAAAAGCACTGTATCTGTAAGTACTGCGATGGAAAATACAACAAAGAAAAACAAGCTAATTTGTTTCAGAAGATGGAGGATACTCTGTTCACATGAGCTGTGATAGGAAACGTGTTGAAATAACAGCAAAGGAGAAGGTCGAAGCCCATGTCCTTTATCCTCCGGTGCCTCTGCTAGAGCTAAATCCAACACTAAATATATATATATATAATAATAATAATAATAAATTGTATTTCTATAGCGCTTCTCTTGAACCCAAAGACGCTTTACATTTGGGAGGGAGGGTAGACAAACAAAACCAAAAAGAAACAAAGAAACAAAACAAAACAGAAAAGCAGTCAGGAGGGAGTTGGTTGAGAGGGGGAGGGGCTTATGGATACAGAGTTGAAGAGGTGGGTTTTGAGGCGGGACTGGAACAGGGTGAGGGACTCAGACTCACGGAGGTCTTGGGGGAGGGAGTTCCAGAGCTTCGGGGCTGCCACAGAGAAGGCTCTGTCCCCGAAGCTCCGGAGTTTGGCCTTGGGGATGGAAAGCAAACCGGCTGAGGTGGATCTGAGGGACCGGGGGGGTCGGTAGAGGATGAGGAGGTCAGTGAGGTAGGGGGGGGGGGGGGGGCAGATGGTGGAGGGCTTTGAAAGTGAGGACCAGGAGTTTGTAATGGATGCCAGTGGAGTTCTTTGAGGACCGGGGTGATATGATGCCATGATTTGGTGTGGGTGATATATATATAGACCCTAACCCATATGTTGATTAGCCAGTACACCATTTTTTCAAAACATTAAGACCATGATTTGCATCCACCCTGTCAGATGATTCAGCTCCTCTCTGGCTGGCTGTTTGTTTTGTGCAGCGAGGAACAGGATATGAGGCGATGATTGCCAATATGTCTTCAGAGCATTTGAGCTAATGTGAGCTATGATGCATTGTAACTGGAATAGAGCAATACATTACTTTCAGAGGGTTCCTGTTGGGGGCTGCAAATCAAAGCAGAGGGTTTCAGAGGCACACAAAAGGAAAGTTTGCCTCTTCAGTGACAGTCTTGATTATGTATAAAGCTGCTCTAATCGATACAAGTATATACTACGAATACAATAATGATGTATTTTGTAAAGGTGGATGCTAACAGCCGGCATGTTGCTGTATGATTCGTCAGTGTCAACACATGGTTTCCAGCGATTAGCAGCAGTTGTTAACATTCAACACACAATACAAATGAA